ACAGCAGTCATTAAAGTACAGACTGTAGTTACTATATCTATGTTCTCTCAACAGTCATTACAGTACAGACTGTAGTTACTATATCAATGTTCTCACAACTGTCATTACAGTACAGACTATAGTTACTATATCAATGTTCTCACAGCTGTCATTACATACAGACTATAGTTACTATATCTATGTTCTTATAGCAGTCATTACATACAGACTATAGTTACTATATCTATGTTCTTACAGCAGTCATTACAGTACAGACTGTAGTTACTATATCTATGTTCTCACAGCGGTCATTACAGTACAGACTGTAGTTACTATATCTATGTTCTCACAGCAGTCATTACAGTACAGACTGTAGTTACTATATTTATGTTCTTACAGCTGTCATTACATATAGACTGTAGTTACTATATCTATGTTCTCACAGCAGTCATTACAGTACAGACTGTAGTTACTATATCTATGTTCTCACGGCGGTCATTACATACAGACTGTAGTTACTATATCTATGTTCTCACAGCTGTCATTACAGTACAGACTATAGTTACTATATCTATGTTCTTACAGCAGTCATTACAGTACAGACTGTAGTTACTATATCTATGTTCTCACAGCAGTCATTACATACAGACAATAGTTACTATATCTATGTTCTCACAGCAGTCATTACATACAGACAATAGTTACTATATCAATGTTTTCACAGCAGTCATTACAGTACAGACTGTAGTTACTATATCTATGTTCTCACAGCAGTCATTTCAGTACAGACTGTAGTTACTATATCTATGTTCTCACAGCGGTCATTACATACAGACTGTAGTTACTATATCTATGTTCTCACAGCGGTCATTACATACAGACAATAGTTACTATATCTATGTTCTTACAGCAGTCATTACATACAGACAATAGTTACTATATCTATGTTCTTACAGCAGTCATTACAGTACAGACTGTAGTTACTATATCTATGTTCTCACAGCAGTCATTACATACAGACAATAGTTACTATATCTATGTTCTCACAGCAGTCATTACATACAGACTGTAGTTACTATATCTATGTTCTCACAGCGGTCATTACAGTACAGACTGTAGTTACTATATCTATGTTCTCACAGCAGTCATTACAGTACAGACTATAGTTACTATATCTATGTTCTTACAGCAGTCATTACAGTACAGACTGTAGTTACTATATCTATGTTCTCACAGCGGTCATTACAGTACAGACTGTAGTTACTATATCTATGTTCTCACAGCAGTCATTACAGTACAGACTGTAGTTACTATATCTATGTTCTCACAGCAGTCATTACATACAGACAATTGTTACTATCTCTATGTTCTCACAGCAGTCATTACATACAGACAATAGTTACTATATCAATGTTTTCACAGCAGTCATTACAGTACAGACTGTAGTTACTATATCTATGTTCTCACAGCGGTCATTACAGTACAGACTGTAGTTACTATATCTATGTTCTCACAGCGGTCATTACATACAGACAATAGTTACTATATCTATGTTCTTACAGCAGTCATTACATACAGACAATAGTTACTATATCTATGTTCTTACAGCAGTCATTACAGTACAGACTGTAGTTACTATATCTATGTTCTCACAGCAGTCATTACATACAGACAATAGTTACTATATCTATGTTCTCACAGCAGTCATTACATACAGACTGTAGTTACTATATCTATGTTCTCACAGCGGTCATTACAGTACAGACTGTAGTTACTATATCTATGTTCTCACAGCAGTCATTACAGTACAGACTATAGTTACTATATCTATGTTCTTACAGCAGTCATTACAGTACAGACTGTAGTTACTATATCTATGTTCTCACAGCAGTCATTACACTATATCTATGTTACAGAGTCATTACAGTACAGACTGTAGTTACTATATCTATGTTCTCACAGCAGTCATTACAGTACAGACTGTAGTTACTATATCTATGTTCTCACAGCGGTCATTACATTACAGTACAGATAGTTACTATATCTATGTTCTTACAGCAGTCATTACATACAGACAATAGTTACTATATCTATGTTTCTACAGCAGTCATTACAGTACAGACTGTAGTTACTATATCTATGTTCTCACAGCAGTCATTACATACAGACTATATCTAGTTACTATATCAGACTGTATGTTCTCACAGCAGTCATTACAGTACAGACTGTAGTTACTATATCTATGTTCTCACAGCAGTCATTACAGTACAGACTGTAGTTACTATATCTATGTTCTCACAGCAGTCATTACAGTACAGACTGTAGTTACTATATCTATGTTCTCACAGCAGTCATTACAGTCCAGACAATAGTTCCTATATCTATGTTCTAACAGCTGTCATTACAGTACAGACTTTAGTTACTATATCTATGTTCTCACAGCGGTCATTACATACAGACAATAGTTACTATATCTATGTTCTCACAGCTGTCATTACAGTACAGACTGTAGTTACTATATCTATGTTCTCACAGCAGTCATTACAGTACAGACTGTAGTTACTATATCTATGTTCTCACAGCAGTCATTACAGTACAGACTATAGTTACTATATCTATGTTCTTACAGCAGTCATTACAGTACAGACTGTAGTTACTATATCTATGTTCTCACAGCGGTCATTACAGTACAGACTTTAGTTACTATATCTATGTTCTAACTGCAGTCATTACATACAGACTGTAGTTACTATATCTATGTTCTCACAGCGGTCATTACAGTACAGACTGTAGTACTATATCTATGTTCTCACAGCGGTCATTACAATAGTTACTATATCTACTTACAGCAGTCATTACATAGTTACTATACCTATGTTCTCACAGCAGTCATTACAGTACAGACTGTAGTTACTATATCTATGTTCTCACAGCAGTCATTACGGTACAGACTGTAGTTACTATATCTATGTTCTCACAGCAGTCATTACAGTACAGACTATGTAGTTACTATATCTATGTTCTCACAGCAGTCATTACAGTACAGACTATAGTTACTATATCTATGTTCTTACAGCAGTCATTACAGTACAGACTGTAGTTACTATATCTATGTTCTCACAGCGGTCATTACAGTACAGACTGTAGTTACTATATCTATGTTCTCACAGCAGTCATTACAGTACAGACTGTAGTTACTATATCTATGTTCTCACAGCAGTCATTACAGTTCTCACAGCGGTACAGACTGTAGTTACTATATCTATGTTCTCACAGCAGTCATTACATATCATGTTTTCACAGCAGTCATTTACAGACTATAGTTACTATATCTATGTTCTCACAGCAGTCATTACAGTACAGACGATAGTTACTATATCTATGTTCTCACAGCAGTCATTACAGTACAGACTGTAGTTACTATATCTATGTTTTCACAGCAGTCATTACAGTACAGACTGTAGTTACTATATCTATGTTCTCACAGCAGTCATTACATACAGACTGTAGTTACTATATCTATGTTCTCACAGCGGTCATTACAGTACAGACTGTAGTTACTATATCTATGTTCTCACAGCAGTCATTACAGTACAGACTGTAGTTACTATATCTATGTTCTCACAGCAGTCATTACAGTACAGACTATAGTTACTATATCTATGTTCTCACAGCAGTCATTACATACAGACAATAGTTACTATGTTTTCACAGCACTAGTACAGACTGTAGTTACTATATCTATGTTCTCACAGCGGTCATTACAGTACAGACTGTAGTTACTATATCTATGTTCTCACAGCAGTCATTACAGTACAGACTGTAGTTACTATATCTATGTTCTCACAGCAGTCATTACAGTACAGACTGTAGTTACTATATCTATGTTCTCACAGCAGTCATTACAGTACAGACTGTAGTTACTATATCTATGTTCTAGTCATTACAGTACAGACTGTAGTTACTATATCTATGTTCTCACAGCGGTCATTACAGTACAGACTGTAGTTACTATATCTATGTTCTCACAGCAGTCATTACATACAGACTGTAGTTACTATATCTATGTTCTCACAGCAGTCATTACATACAGACTGTAGTTACTATATCTATGTTCTCACAGCAGTCATTACAGTACAGACTATAGTTACTATATCTATGTTCTCACAGCAGTCATTACAGTACAGAAGATAGTTACTATATCTATGTTCTCACAGCAGTCATTACAGTACAGACTGTAGTTACTATACATGTTCTCACAGCAGTCATTACAGTACAGACTGTAGTTACTATATCTATGTTCTCACAGCAGTCATATATCATGTTCTCACACAGTCATTACTGTAGTTACTATATCTATGTTCTCACAGCGGTCATTACAGTACAGACTGTAGTTACTATATCTATGTTCTCACAGCAGTCATTACAGTACAGACTGTAGTTACTATATCTATGTTCTCACAGCGGTCATTACAGTACAGACTGTAGTTACTATATCTATGTTCATTACAGTATACAGACTGTAGTTACTATATCTATGTTCTCACAGCGGTCATTACAGTACAGACTGTAGTTACTATATCTATGTTCTCACAGCAGTCATTACATACAGACTGTAGTTACTATATCAATGTTCTCACAGCAGTCATTACATACAGACAATAGTTACTATATCTATGTTCTCACAGTAGTCATTACAGTACAGACTATAGTTACTATATCTATGTTCTCACAGCGGTCATTACAGTACAGACGATAGTTACTATATCAATGTTCTCACAGCTGTCATTTCAGTTCATACTATCGCCGCTATAACGGTGTTAATATAATAGAAACTAGCTGTGTTATGCCTTAGTACACCGTTGAAGTGGAGAAGGGAGATAACTGCTATAATGCATATGTTCTCGCTGAAAACCCTCGTATGTTTTTCTCTCTTCCTATTACAAATCAATATCAACTTCACATTTTCTGCCAGTACATCTTTTTATTTTCTTTTTGGTACAGAAAAAAACGGTTTTCAGGTTACCAGATTGCACAGAATGTTATGTAAGTTTATAAGTGTTATCTGTTAATAAAGTATTTCTTATAACAATATCAAGCATTCTGTAATCAGCCGGTGAAGGTGTGAAGCAGAGCGATTTCTGAATTTTGTAATAAAAACAATTCTTTTTTGTCGTTGATACACTTCATTTAATTATGTACATCTTGTCCATTTAACACGTAACCTAAGGATAGCAATGAAGGTTACAACATCACGCTTAGAAAACATGACAGTGTGAAATTATATCAGATCGGAAGATCGGACGGAATAATCCTTGTCAAATTGTGTTTTTTTTTCTCTCTCTCAATCTTGCATTCCGTAATACTTTGCAGCAGCACTTCCAGCTACCAAATCTCGCGAGACATAGTTGTAGAGATAACATGGTACACCGTCTATTGTTTCTTTGTCGACAGCGAACGACTGACAACCCTGTACACGTAAACACACGCGCGAACAAACGTTCACACCAGTTGTGTTAACAAATCCGAGAGCGCTGACGTAGACTGAGGGTCTGGTTCCCTTGGATACAAGAGAGAAGTATCCAAAGTTTCGAGTGCTGTCCAGCCACTGAAATCGTTGAAGTACCTGTTGCCATTTGTCCTCGTTGAAAACGGACCCAAGGGAAATCAAATTAGACAGGTCTTCAACAGCTTCGGCCAGACAGTGTTGTCCTGGGTTGTCATCATCAGGCAGCAGGATAACTGTATTAAAGTAAACTCTCTTAATATCGTTGTATAATGTTCATTTAATCTTTTAATGTTTGATGTCTAATTAATAGTAGTAGATAAATAAGATAGAACTGTGTATTTGATAAGAAGGAGAAACTCGAAAAATTTTCGACTTCTTTCAATCATCATCACAAAGCAAAGAATGATTAACAGTCAGTTAAATGGATACTCGCGTCATGTGTCATACCTTTTTTCCTACGTCACAGAACCTATTACTTGCTGAACTAAACAATCCTAGTGTGTGAGATGAAATTTCGACGTCACTCTTCCTATATACATATTTACTGTATATATATACTGTGGCGTGATACAGGGCGCGAAACCCAATTATGTATATGATGGGAGAATGGATTCTATGCGGTATATAGATTTATAATACAGACCGCGACAGTCGTGTTGCATATGCTTGTAATGGAATAATTGATTTCATGCGGTATATAAATTTATTATACAGAACTCGACATTTATTGACACTCAGTTCAGTAGGCAGCTTAACCGACATTAATTGACACTGAGTTCAGTAGACAGCTTAACCGACATTAATTGACATTCAGTTCAGTAGACAGCTTAACCGACATCAATTGCCACTCAGTACAGTAGACAGCTTAACCGACATTAATTGCCACTCAGTACAGTATACAGCTTAACCGACATTAATTGCCACTCAGTACAGTGTACAGCTTAACCGACATTAATTGACACTCAGAACAGTGTACAGCTTAACCGTCATTAATTGACACTCAGTTCAGTAGACAGCTTAACCGACATTTATAGACACTCAGTACAGTAGACAGCTTAACCGACATTAATTGACACTCAGTACAGTGTACAGCTTAACGGACATTAATTGACACTCAGTACAGTATACAACTTAACCGACATTAATAGACACTCAGTACAGTAGACAGCTTAACCGACATTAATTGACACTCAGTACAGTAGCAACTTAACCGACATCAATTGCCACTCAGTACAGTATACAGCTTAACCGACATTAATTGACACTTAGTACAGTATACAGCTTAACCGACATTAATTGACACTCAGTACAGTAGACAGCTTAACCGACATTAAGTGACACTCAGTACAGTAGAGACCTTAACCGACATTAATTGACACTCAGTACAGTATACAGCTTAACCGACATTAATTGACACTCAGTACAGTATACAGCTTAACCGACATTAAGTGACACTCAGTACTGTAGACAGCTTAACCGACATTAATAGACACTCAGTACAGTGTACAGCTTAACCGACATTAATTGACACTCAGTACAGTAGACAGCTTAACCGACATTAAGTGGCACTCAGTACAGTAGAGACCTTAACCGACATTAATTGACACTCAGTACAGTATACAGCTTAACCGACATTAATAGACACTCAGTACAGTAGACAGCTTGACCGACATTAATAGACACTCAGTACAGTAGACAGCTTGACCGACATTAATTGACACTCAGTACAGTAGACAGCTTAACCGACATTAATTGACACTCAGTACAGTATACAGCTTAACCGACAATAATTGCCACTCAGTACAGTATACAGCTTGACCGACATTAAGTGACACTCACCGATCTTTATTGACATTCATCTTAGTGGACAGTTTGTCGGACCTTCCACTTTATCGATGCTTTACTGGGTTTTATTAGCTCTCAGTACAGTAAACATATAAACTGACCTATACACTCCCTACAGTCTACATTTAAACTTCTGTATACATTTAGAGCTCGTGAGAACCAACATTTATTTCTATTCAGTACAGTAGAAATCTTAACTGCGGTAATTTCACTAAAAAGATGGAAAGAGACTCGAAGTATGAAAGAAGAGCGCATAGATTTTAATTGGTAACAATCTACACGATCTGATGTAATTTCGTTCTGAAGAAACATTACATTAATTTCTAGGCAATACCTTTAAGATGATACACACATCAGTAACTATACCAAGAAACTTACGTGAAGGTTTGACCAGCCAGTAATCGGACAGACATTTATGCCACGTGTTGTCTGGCTGACCGGGCTTATCCACCAGAATTTTGTCAAAAACCTGCAGACAAGCGATCCGTCCGGAGAACTGTTGATCCGGTTCAGTGGGAGCAGATCCCACCGCCAGCATGCCTGAGTTAGGTATTGGAATATTGTCCTGGAAGCCGTCATCCACCTGTATCTTCTTTGTTCCATCAACGTATATAGTTATTTCTCCGTCTGTGTATTTCCGTTGGACCACCAGGTGGTTCCACTGATCTGGAACAAGGAGATCCTCCACGGGGACGAGTCCAGCAGGGTTGTCGTATTCGTCGCGGAAAGACACTACAACTGTTGTATAGATGAAATTTAATCGAAATTTTTCGATCTCATTCTTAGCATAATAGAATAGAGTTCCACTTGGAGTACCTTCCGGATACACTAATATAGAAATGGTGAAATCTTTAAAAGGTTCTCTCCGAGATAAGTTGACTTCGACATATTCTGTAGAAGAATCTTTTGACAGAGTGATCGCCCCTCCCGGAAGTCCAGGGTATCCTTCGCCAAGTACAAAGCACTGTCCATCACCTGCAGCTGTCATATCATTTCCGCTGATAACATCGGTAAGTGCTGAGGTGTCGCCGAGTGGCCATTCGTATAACGGGTCACCGTTAGATATACCTATAATATATAGAAAATATATACAGGTCAACTGAGTCACTCTCTTAAGTAATTACTATCAAACACTCGTCATAATGGAAACGCTATCATATCACAGTCGTAAACAAATTTGCAATCTGTGGAAATTTTACTGCAATCTATGAAATCTATTAAATAACCATGGTCTCACATATGGTAGCTTGGAGGTTTTTTATCCCGACATGTAATTTTTGAAAGACACAGCAATGAATATCTCAAAGTGTTTAGGAATAAGATTTCTTTCTCGTTTTTTAAAAAAAAAATGTTGAACTTTTCACCGCTGTATCACGCCTATCAAATAAAAAGATCGGAACCGAATTTGTTTTATATGTATTTAGATAAAACTTAAACGAATGGACGATTTCGATGATCACCTGTCAAATATATATCTGCAAGCTTTCGAAGCAATTTTAAACTGATGAAAATCTAAATAGAGATTATAATTTTACTCAATTTCTCTTTCTTTCATGACGTCATAATGCAACTGATGCCCCGAGGCTATGATATTGGGAATTACAACAAAGGAAACCTTCAGACAACCGAATTCCGCTTGATCTTGCAACATTTGTAGTCATAAAAACGTAGAAAGGTGTATGCTTTCCTTCTATTTGGATTATCAGTACTCGATCAGTATTATTATTATTGTGACTTTCCTAACGGCCCGTCAACACATAAAATGTCATTAGGGCCATCAACCGGTAAAACACTCAGCGATCAAAAAAAAAAAAAAAACAAAAAAACAAAAAAAGGAAATAATATCAAACTAAAAGGTAAAAGACAAATGTTAAAAATCACAAAAGATTAAAATGGTAAGTCATACTCTATAATGTAGACCAACATCTTTCAGACAGCTAAAATTTTTGTAAATCTCAACAGTTTCTTTAGACTTGTAACGTTACGAGTGAGAGGCATGCAGATTACTTTGTACATATAAACGCCCATTCTCTTTTTTGACACGGATACACAAGCACCAATCCTCCATATAAATGCATTTACTTTGTGTTATGATTCATAATAAATAACTTACTGTTCTTTGTTATCGATTATATTTGGTATCAGAAATAGTAAACCGACAAAATAGAAAGTTGTTGAATTCTAGTTCTAGACACCAACACAGTAATCCAATGAGATTAAATAGCCAGTGGAGTGTATGTCTGTGAGAGAATGTTTGAGATTCTTGCAATTGCCCTCTCGGTTAGTGCGCAAGGGTGTTTAGCCACCTAAAAAGTCCGAGGTGTGCGGTCATAGGAGGTTTAGGATGGATGGTTTGTGCTGATGTGGTTGTGCTCTAATGACACGCGGTGGACCTCCCGATTGTTTTTCAGTGAGAAAACCAGTAAATACTACTGGAATATCCTGCCTCAAAGTGATCCTGACTAGTCATGGGTTGATAAATCAAGCAAAACAAAACAAAACACACAAATAAAAAAATCGATATTTAACTGCTTAAAGTTTCCTATCAGACATATATAGAATAAACAACAGCATCAGACGTAATATGTCTTATTTTGTGACACGAATTAATGGAAAGATCGGATGAGCAAAATGTATGATAGTCACATTTCAAAGTATTAAATGATTAATTCACTGTAATTGGTCACTAAAATACAACCTATTCACTAATATGTAGCTTACCTGCTGAAATGAAAATGACCAGAATAATTGGAAGATACATCCTGAGTTTGCCATGTGCGACTAACATCCCTCCAGGCAGTTTGAATCTTTTATAGAGGTTGATATACTAAAACCTAATTGCTGAGGATATCACTATCTTTAAGGACTTTGATATGTCTATTGGTGTGAGAGACCGACAAATATCAAAAGAGGAAATACCAGTAAGGCTTGTATACAGTTCTTTCATCTAGTTTTGCCATTGGTCAATAACAGCAAATATGATAAGAAGAATGGAGATGTCGGATTGTCTGCTATGTGAAACTGTTGTGCGATCAATAAGACTGGAAAGGTATAAATCATATAATAGGCTTTTCTAAGGAATGTGCCTCCCGTATAGAATATTAGTTATAATCTGCAACTGACAGAAGAATTTTTATCCTGTTTCTAGTCCATCAGTCTATGTTACAAGCATGCACTTCACCTGGTGCGCAAGATCTTAAGAACCAGACCAAAGTCTCCGAAAATAAGACCATCTTATAGTCAATATTTTGCAGCTGATGTAAAACGGAAATCAAGGAATCAAAATATTCATTTCTGGTAGTCCAAATAAACAACACCATTCTAATAATTTACCTCTCTCATTGAGAATACTGCACTGCATGCAAAATGAACTAGGGAACATGCGAAAATCGTCTAAATATTTGAAATCTGAATTCTAACAACAAAAACTAAAAATATAAAAAGAGAATTAAAAATCTGAAAGATATAGTGAATGTAATTCTGAACTGAAGCATAAAAATAGACTGATAAAATCATATACCAGACACCTTCATGTTAATTTTACCACTTTTAGAACTGGCCCTCTGTGTAACAGAAAAATAGACTGATAAAGTTATATACCAGACACCTTCATGTTAACTTTACCACTTTTATAACTTGCACTGTGTGCAACATAAAAATAGACTCTGCGCTCTGTGTTACTTTGTCATGTTATCAATACTTTGTCACTTAGTTGATCTGCTACTATATTGTTAGATCGAACATTCAAAACAAATCGATCTCTGTATTCTGTGATACACTTGATGCACATTGTGGATCGTTGGCATATGTACATGTCTATCCCCGTACAACAGTTTTAATTTAGATATTCAAATATCATATACATGTAATTTTCCCCTTTCTATGCAGTTATGCTACTTTCTATGGTGTGCAGTTAAAATGGAAACAATGATTATCAAATTTAATATTACATTGGATAAGTACAAATCGATACATACATGTACCCTGACTTTTCCACCACAGTATTTTGTTTATCAACATGTCCAGTCTACTATACGCATACTGCTATCAGACTATTTTTTCATGCATAAGTGTTATCAGTTTTCATGTCAGTGCAGAGATTAACCTTACGATAGTCACAAACTTCTACCATTATGTTTTAACTACATATGATCATTATAAGGTTCCTTTACGCTTTAAATATTGGCCACAATAGCCTGCCTTCCCTTATGGTGTCCGTACATTCACGTGTGCTCTGTACGTTTTCGCGTACCTGTTTATATATAACTAACCTGTGCATTACACACACTGTTGCCGTCACGAGGTCATGCGCGCTATCGTGACCAAAGCACATCGGGCTGGTCCAATATTTGTACCATGCGAAATGGAACTGTATTTGGAAATGATATGTCACATTTTTTGTCAAATTTGCAATATATTTCTGATGACCTGTCTGTAACGTAAACAGGATTGGTTTACTTTGTTTTTTTTTTTTTTTTTGATATTTTAGGGCGATGAGCTTAAATGATATGTCGCTTAAAAGCGATGAGGTCAAAGGTCATGTACTTCATTTTAATACGGGTGAGAGTGAGGAACGGTCAAAGAAAAGAGCGAGGGAAGACAGCTTTGCTTCGGCTGACTAAACATATGTGTTTATGCATTAAGAAACAATACGTACATCTAGATGTCATAAAAAAGTGTCCAATCATACATTTAGACGGCGACAACAAAATCTTGCAACGACGAAAGAAATGATTTTTTTTTTCGTTTATCATTTCTTTTTTTAGGTTTGTCTTTGTTGACCCTTTTCTTGTTTGAAGCTGAATGTTAAAATATAATCTAAATATAAACTTGTTGGTGTGACGCGTCAATTAATGCTGGCGCATGCACACTCCCTCCAAACAACAGCAGATATCAAATGACTTTGCAGCAGTAGAAGTGTCATTCTGTCCATATTATTGACTCGCAGAGCTACCGACTCACCAACTAATCACCGATCTACCGCCTCATCGATCCATCATTCCGTGCTACCACTGGTGAGTTAAAATCCAGGTTATGATAGGTGTTTTTGATCACGCTACTACAGCTGTTAAAAGAAATATGTATCTACAGAGATGAAAATCTAGGACACTCGGTATGTTATAAAACATGTCGGTGGGTCTGTCAACTCACCCGTCCGCCCATGTAAAGTTTGTTTTTCGAGAACCCTTGGGCAACATACATGGTACAAATCACAGAATACAGTATATGTAAGAGTATACCGTGTACGTGGTGAGTTATACCTTGAACATGGTACAGTATATGGGATTGCAGCTGAGAAAATGACCCTTAGAACATAGGATTATTATCATTGCTACAGTCTTAACGGCCCGTCAACACATCAAAGGTCATTAAGGCCATCAACCGGTAAAATGCACTGTGATCCAAAACGGAAATAACATCAAACAAATTAAAAGGTAAAAGACAAATGCTTAAAATCTCAAATGGTTATATTATCACAAAAGATTGAAATGGTTAGTCATATTCTATAATATAGACCAACATCTTTCAGACAACTAGAATTTTATGAATCTCAACAGTTTCAAAAAGATCTTTAGACTTGTAACGTTGCGATAAAAAAAATTCTCGAGTAGACAGAAGGTCAATGTAGTTCAACAAAAAATGTTTAACGGTGAATGACTCATCACATCCTATGCACCGAGGGTTATCTTCGTCCTTCAACATATATGAATGTGTAAGGTATGTATGGCCAATCCGAAGACGGGCAAGGACAACTTCGTCTCGGTGATTGTCTCTATAACAATGGAGACCATTCACCGATGACAGATTTTACAGAGTGCAATTTATCAATTATTTATCAATCATTTAATAGTTTGTTTGATGTTATTTCCTTTTGGAATTCTGTGTTTTTCACCGGTTAATGGCCCTAATTACCTTTTTTTGTGTTGACGGGCCGATAAGATTGTAATAATAATAATAATACTGAATATTATAAAGGAATTTAAAAATTCAAAAACGGAATTGTCAGAACCAGTTATATATTTAAATTCAATTACCAAAACAAAACTCTTTCCGTTGTTTTTTTTTATATTTACAATTGTTCCTTATGGAAGTTTTTAATCTTTTTCATTTTGATATTGAGCTTGTCACGCTCATGGAACAAATATGATGACTGACCCGAAATAAAGGGCACATTCTTGTCTACAATATGGTGGCAGACAAACACTTTGAACAAAGTCAAAGGTATAATCAACATGCTAGAGATCTTGTGATTGAGTATGTGGATTCTCCTGCTTTTCAGTAGCTGCTTCCACACATTTTTGATAGAAGAATGTCCTCTCCTTTTGAGAAGAATGAATATGTTCAGTTAAGTCAGGTATTGCTTCCTGTATTTGCGTGAGGGGAAATATACTAACTAGCGTTTAATACAAACTGATCAAAGCAATATACAAAATTTTCTGTAATTAGTTAAGTGTATGCTAATCGTGAAATAGAGGAACTGTCCCACCTTCCATACAGGAGCTAGGTGCTAATATATAATTGTATTTCAACTGCTATATTGCATTCAAACTCAACTGGTATTACATCTGTTACTTCTAATAAACATATGCAATTTTTCAGGGTTTAGAATTATAGACATTTACTCTGCGTTTATGGTCCAGATATATATCTGGCAGCTGTGACAAACATCAGTTCGGTTTGTCATGAATGTGATGTGAGGTAAAACTGTACAGATTTCAAAATCTACTAAAGGAAAAACTTCACACGATGATGAAATCCAAGGCAAATAAGTCTCATGAATTATTCACATCAAGCAAAATGATTTTTACTAAATAGTATTTATTATGATGAATATCTTTTAACCGATACCACATACAAGTACTAGTACACTGATTATAAAGAAATGATAACTAAACTTTTCTCAGTTTACCTCAGCTCACCTTCGAAATGATGTTCCAGACATTGGTCTGGACTCACAAGCAGACACATAATGTTGATGGACAGTCTTGTAGAACAGTACCTGGGATGTATATTGGTGGTATATCATCCCAGCCCCTGGATACAGCAGACTGTGGAAGTGCTCTTTCCTCAGCAAACCTTCATTCAAAATAGTATAATTGATTAAAGTGAAAACCTTGCCTATGATAAAATAGTAATATATGATAAAATATATGATAAAATTGCCTGTGATAAAATACACTAATTAAGTTTCATACCAGGGACCATCATATTAACGTTACCACTATTAGAACTGGCACTCTGTGCAACATAGAAATAGACTAACAAAGTCCCAGACAGGGACCATCATATCAACGTAACCGTTATCAGTGTCCTGTGAAATAGGTAACAGTCATTCATTAATCTGAACTTTGAACTGGGACATCAATTATGGATTTCCCAAATTTTCCCCGCTTTCATTTCCTATGTGGTAAGGTCGCTTTCCTCAGTTGCTGGCCCATATATGACATTGCAAGTATACATATTTTAAAGGATACAGAAATATTATACAAGATACAGAGTACACTACATAGTACAATGTATAGGTACAGTATATATTGCTCGGAATAAGCTATATAGTGTGCAGGCTAGCATACAATGTACAGGGTACAGTATATAGGCAAATTGTACAGTATACGATATCAAGGTTTCAATATTTTTCCATGAAATACCTGTATTCTTTATATATTATGTACAGGATAAAGTATACTGGTTCAGTATGTAGTATATAGGATACAGGATAGAGGTAGAATATGTCTGTACAAAGGACCGTTTAGGGTACAGTTCTAGCTCACCTGGTCTGAAGGACGCTGCAGCCGTCGTCCTTCAAGTTTTTTCCTCAATTGCTACCTGTCATCAGCTAATAAGCAGACCTTGACCAACTTTGGGGGAAGGTAAACTAATTTTATACTCTTGTCTCGATCCCCTAGGATAGGAGGAGAGGGACGTGGACTGGTCCAATATGGTAATAGAACAAATTCTTTAATATCCTTTTTTTATGGGAGTGCCTTGATTCTATTCCAATTAGACCTGAATGCATACCTGGAGGACAGGAACCCCATTTTGTATAATCCAGGAATGTGACCCCTCCCACTGTCGAGGCTAAGGTGTGGAGTTAAATGAGGTAATATAGTGAAGTCCTTTAAAATCCTTCCGTAGAAGGATATTGTCCATGTTTTGTATAAAATGGGACGAAATTTTTCAAATCGTGGACCGGGGCCAAATAGGGGAATTATTTCAGAAATTAAGTAATTTTTAAATTATTTGTCAAATGACTGTATAGCTGCTTTAGCCGGGTGAACGATGCAGACACCTTGGACCTGATGTACAATAGGCAGTAGCGGATTACCGGGTAGAATACTGCAAAGAGTATACCGTATACGTGGTATAGCATATAGGATGAAGGTTACAGTGTACATGGCACAGATTACAGTAAACAGGGAAGTTTACCAGGTACTTGGTATACTATATAGGGTGCAGGATACAGTATTCATGGAATAGTATACATATGCAAGACCATGAACCAGAAAACACGAGTTTGAGGACGAACATATTCATGAGTGCACATATATACGTCCGTGAACATAAACGAGTGTTTTCTGGTTCTCACTTACCCTCCTTATTTTATAAACGAACACAAACTTTTTTTGCATATAACGAGAACTTTTCATTTCGCCTCGTCTATCAGAAACCGGTTTGACTAGTTTCCGCGACACCTTCCCGCACGTCAGAGAGAGAATGAAAAAAAAAATTGTCACAGACTTTCTCTATGGTACATGTAGTTACCTTGTAAAACAGATACTCCATAAGTACAACACAGATTTCAACTTTTGATATGGTAAAGATTTCTTTTTCAAATAATTGGAAATAATTCATTTTTATATAAGAAATATCCACAATATGAAAGTAAATTCTCACATCTCACGATCTCGCTGCATGACGTCGCTGTCACGTGGTGGAATTTCTATTGTTCCAAATAACTGAATTAGGACAATATCAATGTTTGTGTTCTGTAAAACTGATACTGAATGTTAGAATGGTGTTCGGTTTGTTTTATATTTTGGATCAAAACAAGTGAAAAAACAGGATCTGAAGGATTTGACTTTAGCTTAATTGTGTATTGCAAAGCCAATTTATTACGACTGATACAAAGTGATAGTCCGTTAGACTGTACATAGAGGCTTGCTGTAGGGCATAATCTTAATACTTTCCTAGTGTCTGACCTAGGTGGAGGCTGAATCCATTGTTGGACTCTTAATGCACCCCTCTATTTCTTAGAGATACAAGAAGTATAAGTATGGAATCACGTCCGCGTCGATATTTCAGATGAGAGGGAAGGGGCCAAAGGGAGGCGGAACACACGATGCGGTGATTGTAAATGTGAATTAATTGTAATCCCCGTCAACATTGCCAACCATTGTTATTGTAAACAAAGCCCACTCAGGCGTCTGCAGCCTAATGTAAGAAGACAACTTAAGATTAAATGCCTACTTTCGGTGGTTTTTTTTCATCTGTCTTCAAAAAGCCATTTAGTAACAGTTTTAGCTTGGTATTTTAAGTTGAAAAATCCTTTCTTGTTTACTTCATAATTTATAAATTGGAAAAATGTGAAAACTTTCAAAAAAAATTAATCAATGCAATACATTGGCATTTTACGTTTCCCTTGAAAGGTAGGTCCCGCTAGTATGTAATTACAACTTTCTGTATAGTACTATAACAATGTAATATAAGGTATTGCTAATTACACAGTATATAGGTCAAAGCATTCAATGTATAGAATTCAGAATACACCATACAGGATATAATATACAATATATAGGGTATATTTATTGGAAACATATACTACTTGTACATACAAGTTTCAATTTGCATTTGCAGCATTTTTTGGTAATAGATTCCAAACGCTTAATGTTTACAATCACACTTCAACCAGAGTAAACGTAACTGGTCAAATGTGGATAACTCATTGTTTCGGTATCTACCATGTTGCCAAAGTTGAATTATGTAAAATGAGTGTTTACACTAGAAGCCACAAAAATGATATATCAATTTAAAAAAATCAGTATTTTGATAACACAGAACAAGAAGAGGAGCATCACAACAAACATTAAAGTTTATTCAGCGGGATAAGTATCATGTACTACACAAACTGTTATATGTATACTTTGAAAGTTTCGAAAATAACGTTTTATGTGTTGACGGGCCCTTAAGATAGGAATGATGGTAATGATAATGATAATGTTTCGAAAATACATATATGATTTTAATAAAATCAAAATTGATTTATATGTTTAAGCTGGCCGTAAGAAATATGTCCGAATTAAACCCAGTTCCGGTTGTTGATCTCAGCAGATCCAGGACTCACCGATTGGAGGAGGCCATGAACGTTGTGAATGGTCTGGAGAAGGTCGGTTTTTTGTTTGTGGATAATATCAGAAATTATTACCCTGATCAGCTGATGACCTGCTGTAAATGGTTCTTTCATCAAGAAGCAGCTGTGAAAAATGACATCACTAAGAAAATTTGGAACAGAAATAACAACAACATCTACCGAGGATATTTTCCTGTCATAGAAAACCAAGCCAGTAGGAAAGAAGGCTTTGAGTTCGCGAAAGATATTGACTGGAGTAGTGCCACAGTATCTCCAGATAACTGGTTTTATGAAACATCGGTTTGGCCCAAAGAAGATGGGAAGTTTCCTTTTCGACAATTTCTTATGGAGTTTTACGACACCATGCACGAGACGGCAATGGAGCTTCTTCGTTTAACTGCTGTGGGTTTGGGACTTGAAGAAAATTCTTTTACGGAAATGTTTTCTTACAACCCTTGCTCCACATTACGCCTTCAGCACTATCCGCCATGGGAGTGCGAACCACCAGGCACTGCGCGGACAGAGGACGGACGGCTGGTTACGACACCGGAACACACAGACTCTGGTTTTCTCACTCTTCTATCAACGTTCTCATTTCCAGGTTTGGAATATATTTCGCAGAACGGTGCATGGGTTCCGGTCAAACCTCGACCTAGGAGTCTCGTTGTGAACATCGGAGATCTGTTCTCTTGCATGGTTGGAGGACGTTTCAGAGCAACGCGACATCGTGTTATGGATATTGCCATCGATCGCTATTCTGTGCCTTTTTTCCTTGAGCCAAATTATGATACAGAAGTCGATTTTGATTTAATCAAGCGTAGAGCAGGAGAGGAGAATTCTACTGGTAAAAAATATGGACCATGGGTCATGGCACAAATGGCCAAAAAGGGTTTTTATGAGTTCGCTTCTTTACCAAAATTTTAATTACTAACAGATCAGATTTACGTTGTATACATATCGCTGGCATATGGCATCTTATTTAGATATTATGATATATATCAGTGACTGTGTTGATCTGTTTGAATTCATGATATTCTTTTTATCATCGACCTCGATGTTCTGATCGAAAGTTCGTTATATTTTCAACATTACTGACTCCGTTCTTCTGATGGAAATATCATACTGTTCTAGATATCACTGACGTTTTTTTTCTTCTGGTTAAAAAATCATAATATTAAATACATCACTGACTGTGTTCTGATCGAAATTCATCAGATTTTAGATATATCACTGACTGAGGTGTTTTGATCGAAATTCGTAATATTCCAGATATCAAATGACTTCGCTGTTCTGATTGAAATTCATAATAATCTAGATATCAATGACTGTGTAATTCTGATAGGAATCTATAATATTCTAGACATTACTGACTTACTGATTTAAATATCTTAACATTCTTGTAACATGATCATGCAATGAAGGTTCTCTAAATAACATCAATTTTGATTTTATTTCAATAGAAGGATTCAGCTGAAACTTGCCTTGCCTGACCAAGTGTAACTTTTTTGGTAAGTCCGAAATTCAATTAGGTCGTTATGTCTGAAATATTAAAAAGAAAAAAAAAATTATCATTATTATCATTGGGAAATGACGCCGATAAAATGTTTCGTGGCAGTGAGTTAAAAATTTGCGGGGAAAGGACTAAAGTGAAAAATGATTTCTCATTTGAGAACGTGACATTACTTACTTTGATTGACCAAGGTTTACATGGCGGGTGTCGTTGATAAAGCAGAAGACGCATACTCTTCCGGGTCATCTGGTCTTATTTCCCTTATACTTTTTCAGTAGTTTCCGTGTAAACCTTTCTTTTGTTCATATTTTACCCTAGTTTTAAGGAAATTTGATTTCGAATTATGATTATGTTGGCATGTTGGTATTTTCTTGGAAATTTTTACTCCAACACTTATTTTGCAATGTCAATGTATTTTTATGGAGTTCGCACTGTTCTTGTGAAGAAGTTGCTGATTAAGAACGTGTGTTAATAAAGGCAGTATTTTCTCTATGTGTACATTGTGTGGTTCACACAGATGTGGGAAAGTATATGTAGACACATGATGATTTATCAATACACTCGAATACATATACACAATCGTAATTGAAAGTTTTTCGTTCACAAAGTGTCGCACGTATATACACTTATTATACATGTACATACATGATATACATGTGTGAAAACATTAAATGGATGACATTTTGTCTCGGAAATGAAGCATCTAAAATCTCGTAATGTCAGAAAGGGAGTTTGATTTTTATAACTTCTGTATTACTTTCATTTTGTTAACAAAAATATATATACTCAGGAAAGTGTTGTGTTTTTCCAAGGTAGATCTGAAAAATAAAGATCCGGACGAGCCACATATATAGTCGTATACAGGTAGTTTTGTTGCCTGAGGTACACCACTCGTTGCCTTCTGAGATGTTAAACGATACGATAGAACAATACTAATAAGTGTAGGGGTCGAGTGTTATTTCAAAAACTATCGTATTGAAAATAATTAATATTCACCGATCAATTTTAATATGTCTGTGATCGCTATTTAGTCAATATCACACGAGTTATCTGTTTAATTTTTAATCTGTTGTATCAGCCATCCAGTTCTAGGTCACCTGAGACAAGGTCTCATAGAGACCTACTCTAATCATCTATATCCGGCGTCGTGCGTCTATAAACAATTTTACATTTTCGACTCTCTCTCGAAAACACCTGATCCGATTTAAATGATTTTTAGCAGAATCCCTCCCTGGATTAAGATGAACCAACTTTGTGAATTACACAGTCCTCTACGCCTGAGGGACGGGGCCAAAAGGGGTCAAATTGACTTAAATTTCAATAATCTTCTTCTCAACACCTAGATATGGTAGAATCAAAATTCTTCATGAATGGAAGCATATTTAGGTGCTTACATTACCAAAATGAGTCTCACATTTCTTCCTGGGAAGGAATATTTTTTAGACTTAACTGCAATTTTCATACAAAAATGGCATTCTGGTTATTTCACACTGGAAATGAATTTATAAGTATTGTCAGTAAACGATTACAGTTTTGATGGTATGCATGTATTGACGCTGGCTTACAATATTCAGTGTCACAATTTCTGTTTCATGACACTTGATAACTATCATTTAACCATTATATTCGAATTGCTGATCTCAGGCGATCGTCAAGGCCGCTTGGCCTCTAGTTACGAAACCGCTCTAAAAGTAATAAAATTGAAGTAACTAAAAAAACATGAATGTAATATATTTCGAATCAAATAACAGCATTAAAATCGGATATCCCATGAACAAAACTACACACTTGTTCATTAATGTATACGTCGGTTACCATAGGTCAGTTCAGGTAAAATGAAACGGTTCCGATAATCTCACAAATATTGACAAACATGACCTTTCAGAATCATACATATCTGAATAAACCAATGTTAAAAATAGATTGGGCACAAACAGAACAACACTATGATGTAATAGGAGTAGTATAAACAGTATATGTACACACTTTAATAAAATTTCTAAGTTAGAACGTGAATATCTCTACCTCTGTTCAAGGACATAGGACACAATGTCTCACAATCTTATTTTTACTCCATCATCAGATGGTGAGCTTTGGTAAATGATGACGGGCTATTCGAATACCCTTACGACCGTCCGTAGACAGTATTTGTTGCCGCTATTTGTTAATGAGCACTGGATTGATCTTTCTTAAATTTCATATGAAGGTTCCCTTGGTTCCTAATTGTGCGCACTTGACTTTGAGACAGATAAGAAAAACGCAGTGACTGACAGTCGCAAATCTCTGATTTTCAGTATGATTATTATTATTACAATCTTAATGGCCCGTCAACACATAAAAATGTCATCAGTGACATCAACCGATGCAGTACTCAGCGATCAAAAAAGGAAATAATATCAAACAAGCTAAATGGTCAAAGACAAACGCTAAAAATCTTAAGTGGTTATATTATCACAAATGAACATAATGGTTAGTCATATTCTACAATATATACCAAAATCTTTAAGATAATTTTATAAATCTGTTCAAAATAAGTCCTTAGACTTTCGTTACAATAAAAATAATTCTCGAGTAGACAGAAGGTCAAGGCAGTCCAATAAAATGCTTAACGGTGAATGACTCATAACATCCTATACACCGAGGATTTCAACTTGCCTTGCGGATAGGGGTTAGAATATATCGGCTGCACGTGGTAAAAGTCCACTAAAAGGGGCAACCTGTCTACCGTGGATTGCGTTCCGTTAGTACAGAGAGAAAGGATCCTGGTGGTTGCTTTATTCTTACACAATCTCCAGTGACCTCTCCCCTTCCCCCAATACATCACTTTGGCCTCTATCTCAGTAAGACGGGTGGTCATTGTGGACCTCAATGATCAATCGGCTGGTCTTGCCAAGCCCTAGGTCATCTATATGTTTGACTCAACCGTATGCCCATCTATTTTTAGAGTTTTTATTTTACAGTTGTATCCCAGAAGGCGGTGGCTTAAAGGTCAATCGAGAGAATTGAATAAAAAACAGCATGAATATTGAAAAGGTCTATATTGCATCAATATTATTTTTAATATTCTTAAATAAAAAAGGCAACATATTTAAAAAAAAAAAAAAACCTTGATAAAGGTCTAAATATCAGCTAAATTGACAGTTTTTATAATCTTGCACAATCTAGGCAAATTTCCTGTATTTATTAGGTTTCAGCTATTAAGGCTTTTGCTCTGTTAAGTAAGAAAGAACCAGCAATAGAACACAAAAACAGCAATAACAAAAGATCTTTGAGAACAAAGCAGTGAAAGCTATAATAACGCGTCGAGCTTTGATATATATGTATATCAAAATTTGAATAAAATCAAGCTCAATTGGTTACAAATAAATCACAGACAAAATGAAATGCATTTTTTTCCAAACAAGGAAAATATATGGCATGTGTAAACTAGTATATGATAATTTAACAGATAAGGACAAAAATTGAGTAAATTTGAAAGGTGATATCTATAATTGAAAAAAAAAAAAATACTCAGATGTGAAGTGATGTCTAGAATTGAGAAAACCACTCAACATATTCTTCACACAAGATTTAATATCAAATTAAAACTGTCTATGAAAACAGGACAACGACAATTAACTCTTTGCTTTGTCCAAACTACATGGACGGAACAAAAAAACCTTGTTTTAATCCGTTCGAGGGAATCAGTATGTGACCATATTTATATATACTGTACATAACTGCAGACTACATAAAAGGTTCACAAATTGTTACATTTGTGTATAAGCACCTGCAGACAGCAGATATGTGACAGTATACCAAATACAACAGATAATCTTGCAGTTCAAATATTGACCGTCATATACATTCCCAGACATTAATTTACAGATTTAATAACCTACAGTTGTAGGCACAATTACTGGCAAGCATATCTTGTTTTGGACAAGTGTCTTGGTCCTATTGCATTCCTTAGGTAATGCCAAAAAGCAGGCCTTGCCACTATGTACTTCTGCAAAATTACCAAGGTCTTTGTTGCAATCTGTCATAACAGGTACAGATATTGACTTTAGGTTAACAACTCATGCCTTTAAAATGTTAATGATGTTGCGCGGATGCGTCAATAAATCTCTAACTGTATGCTGTTGCCACATTTCTGGTATAAAAAAGACTCTTTATTACATACAAGCTGTTTTAAAGTTTGAGCATTTTCTAAGTGTGTTTATGAGGTCCTTTCCCTTTCCTGAAGAGTAGCCCATGGTCAGTTTCACTTCAACCATATTTACACACGAAGAGATCATCAAAGCTTCTTTCATCAATGCCAATACTTGTAAGATTTTCAGTGACAATCTGACAGAATTTCAGACTTATGAGTCAGATTGGTGTGATCATCTAGTATGATTTCTCTTGGAAGATAGTCCAATGAGGTAATGCTGAAAATGCAGAATGGTTTTTATAGGAACGTTGATAATGGTAAATTTAACAAAAGGCCTTTCGACTTCAATCACTAAAGACTGTTGTTAGATATAAAATGGAAACTTGGTCAACTTTATAATTAAGTACAAACTACCCACCAACAACTGCTATCCAGTAAAACAATTGATTCACAACCTAAAGAATAATTATAGGAAGTCAATACATCAAGTTGATATTTATATATGATTTAAACAGTTATGATATGACAACCTTTTTTTATTTCAATAAGTCAACTTATCCAAAATCATTTACATTACTAGTTATTGGTAGTAAAGTTGCTGGCATTTGTAGGCGGTACCGCGGGGAGAATGACAGGGCAATGGGACGGGGATTCGTTTTTCCAATTTTGAAGTTACACGGGAGTGAATCGCTATTGAAATTAACAAATCTTGTACGGGATTTGTTGTGTCACACCTGCTTACAGAATAGGGTTCTTAGAGCAGTGTTAACCAATCATGATATTAAAAACAATTGTTAATAGTAAGATTTTTATCTCTACAACTTTTCTTCTTCATTAATACTTGTGCACTGTACCATTTAACGCCTCTTGCTCTATAACTTTTATGTGGCAGTAGAGATCCTGAAAGTATCTCATTAGTACTTCGAGTAAACCGGAAGTCAAGCGAATATTTTCTTTTAAAACAAGGAAAAAACAACTTACAACACCCTTTCCCATCAGTTACAAAGAGACGTGTTGTGTAAGGAAAATTGATATATGGGTACCAATTGTACATTGAACACATATCATACTCGGGTATTATGACAGATAATTCAAATCTGTATATATATATGTTAAAGTCCAAATTTGCAATGTCTGGAAAATGATAAAATTGGAACGCTTCTGATTAATAAATCGTAAGCGCTTTTAGACTGAATCTTCATACCTTTACAATTTGTTTTGTTACCTCAGAAGGACACAAAACGACGTCGTCAGCAATGCAAAAAAAATACGCGTTGGACACTCATATGTTGATCAAATTGATAACATCCTCAAGGAAAAGGCATAAGTACCAGAACTCGTAAACTAAACTAAACTAAATTCGTGTCATTATATTATCATTTGATAAGCATATATGCGAGAAAACTAAAGGTATATGAACGTGGAGAGCTTTAAGTTGCTGTATACATCTTACGTTAGTCCACACATTGAGTGTGCGAATCAAGTCATGTGCGGTCATCTCGAAAAGCACATGGAAACGATAAAAATAAAAGACGTATCCTATACTGAGACATTACAGAAACTGAAACTACCAACACTAGTATGTAGCAGATCCCGAGGAGATATGATAGAGGTCTTCAAAATACTGTCCTGGAAATATAATTGTGATGTGTTAGAAATCTTTCAAGTCAGGGAAGATTCATCAGCACGGACATGATTTAAAGAGTCTTAAATTATGAACAGTGCTTTAAAAATCCTATTCTGTAAGCAGGTGTGACAAAACGAATTCCAAAACATGATTTGTTCACGTTGATAGCTATTCACTCCTTCTTAACTTAAAAATAGAAGAGCTATCTCCCCTACGTAACATTTCATTATGGACATACTCCCCTTTCTCTGTTGATTAAACAAGAAATTGTAGTATAACATTGCTTCCATGGTCACTTGAAATAAAATGAATAAGAAAGAACAAGTCAATTAACCTATATTTGTTATTATCGATTTTAATGCGACAACACTCCGATTTATGTAACGTGACAAAAGGTTTCCGAACTTGCGTGAAAAATAACGGGACTTCAGCTTGAAACATTAGCAGGAATTGATACATAGATAAGTCTAATATTATATGGTGCACATTTGTTTGGTTATGTTATAAGGCAAAGTCAACAAAAATATCAAAAGTTTCTAACACACTACGCCATCAGAGATTCCCCCTCCTCCACTGACAAGCGATTTCCCGCGGTATCGCCTACACCAGGTGTGGTACAGTTACCTAAATATGAACTTATGCCGTCAAGCATAATCCTTCTGTCACCCCTGGTATCCATGCCAATTGTTTCATTAGGCTTTATTAGTTTTACTGCCATGACAGCTGGAAGACTCCTGGCTGCAAAAGTTTAAGTTAAGGTATAAGATATCTGATTTCATATTTGTGAATTGCCAATGGAGCTTTGTTTAATTTTCCCCTGCCAATATGTATCTATTAATTTACCAAACCTAGCCATCATTTCTCCATCACCTTATTGCCTTTGCATCTATAGACAAGATTAAGTTCTTCTTAAAGGGGGCAATAGAATATTGAGGATGATAACCAGTATATGAGTTTTGACCTTTGTTATGCATATATGTTTTCTTATGTGATCCACTTGTTGATAAACTTTATTGGCCTTTCCAGCTTTCTTACTAATTTCATTCCACAAGACGCTGTGATGGTTTGCCACTCAGAATTTCTCCAATCTCAGCTGGACAAGGTTTAGAGCTTCACCTGTAAAATAAGTTTATTAAAACATGTATTCGTTTAAACTTCAAAATAACTTTAAACTTTTTTAACTTTAAACAATGTTAAAGGTAAAAATTAGAAGCATATTTTATACAGCCATACCTCTCTTAACATGGCCAATAACAGCAAGGCAGTCACACAGGCACATGTTCATAAGCTTGTGAATTTAGAACTTTAATAATCTGGAATAATTGTAGCAGACAAACAACCTGACTCCGACATAAAACCTGCCTTCCTTGAGTTTGCAAAGGGAAAGTAATGAACTATTTTATTAATTTTAATTTTAATTATTTTATATTAATGAAACTACTTGTAAACGGTTAATTTTGTTGGCCTCCTGAAGTGGATACCAGCAAGGTAATGTTTAGTGGAACATATATACATAATACCTGCATTTGGTTAGATGTTGGATACGCTTTCCTGTTTTACTTCTTCACTGGATAAGTTGGTTTTCACTGCTGCAAACGAAACTAGACAACTCAGTGAACTACAGTCCCTCCACCAGATGTGAAATTATTGAGACAAAAATACTTTTCCTTTTATGCAAGTCAAAGGTCAAAATGAAGGTAATAGTGACCAACTTTTGACACATGACAAATCGCCTCCCCTAGGTGACCCCATGCCGCAAGTTGAAGTTCCAGTGGCAAGAGGTGTGGACGCAACCCAACTTTATATATATTAACAAACATTTTTGGAGAGCATTCCTTAATGTTTATAAACATAGTTCCTTTCATTTCTAAAATGTAGTATCTTATAATATATTCTAAAATAAATGAAAGAAGTATAAGTACCTGTTAGTGTCACATCAGTAGGCCTAGATCTCGCTACTTATGATGTACTGTCTTCTGAAAAAGTATGATTATCATTTAGATATAAAACATTCATATTGCTTGGTTTAGGAGAAATATTACATTCTCGGTCATCAGTGGGGGTTGTACGATAAAAAAACCCAGTAATATTTCATGCACTATTTACCATATCCATGTTGTCCAATACAAAAAGTGCAAGTATATATTTCGCCAGTCATGAATTGTTGTCTGAATTTCTTTGCCCATTACAAAGTTTTTCTTGTGATTATGGTACATCCAACAGGAGTACAGCTTTACATGATATATACCTGATAAACCTTCCTGAGGCTAAGCACTGGCGTTTGATGACGATCTTGTTCGTAATTTAGTTATTGCGTAAGCATCTAAAAGAAAAAAAAGAAATGTATTGCACATGTTTATTCAGCATCATGTTTCGGAAGAAAAATAAATGTAAAGTAATGTATTTCTGTTGTCATTGTTTGTCATTATCTTATGATATTTGGATACTTTTCGGTCTGCTTGTGATTTTCAAATGGAATATTCTGCTTTCAAATCAGTTTGACTGCATTTCGCTTTTTGTTCGAAAAAGGTATCCATGAATCTTTATATGGTTGATGTTGTTTAATTCCGTTTGTTTTTTAGATAAGAAATAAGATAGATGTTTCGCTTACCTTCTATCTGGAACCCGGTTGAATTAAGTTTTAAAACAACTATAGCTAGTAGAATCATACTCTGTACACACTTGCACACGCTCGCTCAATATGAAGACACGTCAATAGATTACAACCAATGTACATCAGACAACAGTACAATACACGACATTCCACAACAGACACCATGTTGTATAACACCACATGAAAGACACCGCATTGTATGACGTAAAAATATCACATTACATGACATCACATGAATATGAAATTACATGACATCATAGTACATTATAGGAGGAACAATTTATAACAGTTCAAAAATTATGAAGTAACGTATTCTACATTTGCAGTTTAAGTTCAGATCAGTTTGGTTGTTGGTGATTTCAGCACTGAAACAAAGAAACTAAAGCTGAATTAAATTAATATATATACAATAATATTTCGTTGTCGTAACCATTGACAAATTCCTACAATTAAAAATACATTTCCTACAATCAAAATTGTACAATTATAATTAGGGTAGAAATGCATTGCAAAATCATAAGGTACGTTCAAACGGTGCATTAAATTCTTGGTCTCGATGTTGGTATTAAGATGTGTCATTAACTGTTATTCCATCTAAACCATGATATCAAACCCCGAAAAAATCATTGTATTCCATTGCAGAATGCAGATTCGTTTACGACTATACATTTTAACAGAGTTGAAATTTAAGAATCCTGACGACTACTTACTATTCACACAGGTAACTGCTGCCGTGTACTGGTCGCGACTACTACTTCCTCGAAATACCCCAAAGCCACCAAACGGACAGTCAACAATGGTCAATTCTGTACCTGTGCACTGGCATAAATCCATCCAGGTCGGTTGCTGACGGTTGTACAATCCAAACTCATGACTCACCGTGTTTGCAATGCCCGCTCTGACGTAAAATCAATGGCTTGGCAATATATCAGCTTCATAAGTTGGTATCATATAAAAGTTTAGTCATTGTCTTATCTTAAAACTTACTATACACATTATTAAGCATTATTGAAATAGTTTCCAGACGACAAACCAGTTTGTCAATACAGCAATAACAAAATTCTAATACACTGTGCTGTAAAATAACATGTTTTTTTTTCAACATTCCTTGAAACTTTAACGTAAAATGTCAAGTTTGACGCTCTTCAGAAGTTGTCTAGGTTATATTTTGTGAGATACAAAATTATCGCATAAGTGTAAAGACTATTTATGAGGAAGACTTTCATTTGTTGGAAAAATTAATTAAAAAAAAAAAATGGCGCAGGAAACGTTTTATTTCTGAAGAAGTGGATACCATGACATATCCAGCATGTCTGGCAGCACTGCTACCTAACTATTGATATTAATTTGTTTATCATACTAGATATCCTCAGAAGTAACTTACTTGTATCCAAGCATCCGACATGCCACTCTGGCGTCCTTATCGTCCCAGTACCAGCCCCCAACGTACCCCCAGTACCCGGAGAAGTACACTTCCACCCGCCCCTGTCCATCAGCAGACATGTCCACAAGTCTCACCTCCACAGATGTGGTATCTATCACCAAACACGATCATTATCTATTGTCACATATCAAATGGCAGAAATTTGTCTTCCTTGGTTACCAGGCACAAAAATAAACCCACACTTTTAACTAAGAGACATAACTCAAGCCTTTTGTTAGTCATCAATTTATAGTATTTGATGTTGTGACACCAATATTGTAAGTGATGTTGTGATGTTGATATAGTACCTTATGAGATTCTGACATTGTACCTAATGTTATGCTTCTGATATTGTACCTGCTGTTGTGATTCTGATATGGCACTTGTTGTTGTGATTCTGATATTGTACCTGATGTTGTGATTGTGACATTGTACCTGATGTTGTGATTCTGATATTGTACCTGATGTTGTGATTCTGATATTGTACCTGATGTTGCGATTCTGATATTGTATCAGATGTTGTGATTCTGATATTGTACCTGATGTTGTGATTCTGACATTGTACCTGATGTTATGCTTCTGACATTGTACCTGATGTTGTGATTATGACATTGTACCTGATGTTGTGATTCTGACATTGTACCTGATGTTGTGATTATGATATTGTACCTGCTGTTGTGATTCTGATATGGCACTTGTTGTTGTGATTCTGATATTGTACCTGATGTTGTGATTGTGACATTGTACCTGATGTTGTGATTCTGATATTGTACCTGATGTTGTGATTCTGATATTGTATCAGATGTTGTGATTCTGACATTGTACCTGATGTTGTGATTCTGACATTGTACCTGATGTTATGCTTCTGACATTGTACCTGATGTTGTGATTATGACATTGTACCTGATGTTGTGATTCTGACATTGTACCTGATGTTGTGATTATGATATTTTACCTGATGTTGTGATTATGATATTGTACCTGATGTTGTGATTCTGATATTGTACCTGATGTTGTGATTCTGACATTGTACCTGATGTTGTGATTTTGACATTGTACATGATGTTGTGATTCTGACATTGTACCTGATGTTGTGATTCTGACATTGTACCTGATGTTGTGATTCTGACATCGTACATGGTTAGAGTAAGGTTAATGGTCACTGACATTGTTGGTGGTCTTATGATACCGACATTGTTCGTAATATTAATTTTGAAAACACAGTAAATACGGAGGCCTCGTATGATATGTATAAATATCCATCGGCCATCGGTTGAAGGGATTGTCGAGACACCTACATTGATTTTAATGGCTCTCAATTAAATTGATAACTATCTATTTGTTTTATGTTCTATGTCTGTGATATAATATTGGTGTCTTGATAATGGGGCAGATTGCATCGAAAATTTTTTGACAATTCACTTGTCCGTACGGTCGTTATTACTTCATTTATCACACACATATATAACGTGGTAACCATTGAAACTACATTAATATGGAAACTTAAGAGGTCATGTATATGTAAAAAAAACATGTAGTCTGCAAAGGAGTAGATGCATTAAGGGTCAATTTTGGCCCCAGCATAGATTTTCTTAATTTTTATATCATGCAAACATGGACATATGACATTGATAAAAAAACAAGTTTTCAATAATTCTGACAATTCGTTGCCTAGCAACGGGCCTGGAAACCAACCTACTCTTTACCGTCTATTTGCACATTTTAGTGATATTTCACTGTTTTTTTTTATTATTTGGTGAAAATATTTAATCAATTTTTACATATCAATGGTATGATTTAAAAATCATATCATATTTGTGATCAACCATCATATATTACATGTTTAAGATTTCCTAGCAACACAATAGCAACCAAACTCTCTCCATAGCAACGGATTGTAATAAATACAATAATGGACACAGAAAATTGATGATAATACTCATGGGCTGTTTAGATTATGATACATCTTAAAAATGTAAATATGATGATACAATAGAGCATATAGGTGGTATTCCACAGTAACCATGTCTTACCATAGCAACTAAATATTTCACCATAGCAACGGTACATGCAATAATCAGTACATCAATTTGTCAATACTTCCGTACACGGTTATCTTTATATTCTTGGTTAATTTGAAAATGATATGAAATCAAACATGTTACAGTTAATGATTCTTACAAAAGTTAAAAGTTATTTCAAATAAACATTATGCACTAACAAAATACATTGTCATTCGAGATTAAAGCCAATTCCTCAGTCGATCAAGTGACCATTGTGCATTTGTATTTACATTTTTGGAGATTCCGAAATTTATATGTAATTTACATGGCTACATCGGTAAAGCTGTGCTGTTTTATTCCTCCGTGTTACCTTCATCATCACTCTCATCAATACTGATTGGGTCTGGTGTATAACTGGCATCTTGTAAATATTGTGTCCAGTCCTTACTAAAGTCAAAGGACTTGTCTAAATGACGTGCAAATCCCATATACCATAAGATGGATGCAACATGGGAGCAAGTCCCAACCACCCTCGCCCCAGCACGGCATGTACAGTACCATCCTTGCACATTACAATCATCAAATGATACCCACAATTGGTAAAGTTTTGAGGAAAAATGTCGGCTCTGTATCTTGGCATTGATCAGATTAGCATCTACTTTACAGATAGATACTTCATATCCTCCCGTTTCGCTCATATGTTCCTGTGTGTAGGACCGTGCCAGTTTGAGCTGATACACTCCCAGTGTCAAATTCCGCAGGTCTTCTTCTGTCAGAACAGGAAATATGATATCAGTTGTGGTCTCCATCTTCTGCCACTTACTAGGTCGATTGAAAAGGCCTTCTCGTTCAATAATCTCCCAAAGAGAATTCTGCTTCCGTGACAAATGCAACATTTTCGATCCTAGCAGTTGATCTTGCTCTGCATCCCCGTGCTTATTGGTGTACCGAACTTGTTGAAGATTGCACACACAATCCTGACAATATCGCCTATGTATGGAATCTGTGAGTTTGGCAACACACGATCCAAATATTTCCAGGTTTTTAACCGTCCATTCACAGCCTCAACGACCCATCTGAAAAATAGTAAATAGATGCATTTTGAATGTGAATAAATGAAGTATTCAAATGCATATGATGGTAACTATATCAAATAAATTTTGTTTTCAATTTCGACATCTTCTAAATGGACAGGTTTATGCAGTTCAACTTATAAAATCGAAAGTATCTAATTCTCACTGGGAATTACCTTTAACCATTTTAATGATATATTAATACAAATAAGTTATAAATATGTTGTAAAAGCAATTGGTAAAGTTAGTAAAATGTTACTCAGAACAAAGAGAGACCTTACCTTATTTTAGTAACAAGCCTGGAAGCGTTGCTTTCTCCGGTAGTGTGCTGTTTCCTTTGCTTGGAAAAAGAAGGCATCTCTGTTTGTATTCCTAGCTGTTGTAGGAGGTCCATGGAATCTCTAAAGCCTCTGTCAAACACAAACACATCATTTTCCTGAATCCACTCCTTGATTTCTTGAATGTTGGAATTTAAAATCTGATTCAGGATGCTGGCATCATTGTTTTTGGAATCGGCAAAATAGGGACCTAACACGGACACTATGTAACCTGTTGTGGTGACAAATATCATAGGTTTTACCAACGGCCGGTGCTTATGCATGCTGTAACTCCTCCTTTGGAACATAAATTGGCCACTCTTTTGTATATAAATGTAGGTGCCATCAATTACAAGAATGGCTGGTTCCATAAGTCCTCCAAACAATGTTTGGGCGAGTGGTCTTGTGTGTTTCAGTATAATATCTTGTCGACTAACATGCTGAAATCCCAAATTTGATGGAACAAAGTCTTTCGCTAGTGCAACTCTTGCCGATGTTACTGCACGTCGAATAGAATCTTTTCCAATGTTAAAAACTGTTGATAGGACTTTATTTGACATGCCACTTTTTAGTTTAGTAAGAAAGATGCCGACACAAGATTTAATGCTCCTATTCTTTGAAGATCGCACAGAACCAGCACAGTGAGTACACAAATCGTTAAAATGCTGTGTACATAGTCCAGTTAGTGTAATGAAATCTTCATTCGAAAGGGCATGCGGTGAGTCAAAGTCAATGCGTTTGCTTTGCTGTGTATTTGCTACATCTCTAATCTTAGAAATCAATGCCACTATTTCAGTACGATTAAGAGAAGATAGGTCACTTTTTATAGCAATGTTTTCACAAGCATCATTTTGCAATAGACCATCCTCGATATGATGACTACAACATCTTGCTCCGAACGGAACTAAAACCCCTTTTCGCAGGAAGAGGTCGTATTTCGCGTCACGAGATATTACCACCAGTTTCTATGGGTAAGTATTGCATACAAAACATTTTTTGTGGCTACTTCCAGTGGATGGGATTGAAAGTGTAATATTCCGCGGCGATGAAAGGATGTTCTTTGTTGATTTATTACAAGGGGCTTCAACTGAAGAGTGGTGTTGAGCGATGTGTGTACGACGCTGTAGTATTGAGCGATGACATGACATACGACACTTTCCACAAATGACATCTTCTTCTTTTGTTTGTATCATATATGTTTTCAACAAATATTTTCTTAGTGAAGAGTTTTCCTTGCCTTTAGTGAAGCGCCTGTCCCCAGGTTTTGTTCTCTTAGAACAAACAACACACCGAAATTCTCCCTTTCCAGGCATCCTAAACAAATAGATACTAACTATATTAAAATATGTCCCAAACATCAGAAACTAAAGGGCGTCTGGGCATTTACTTATTGTATGTTGAATAAATATGAAACATTGTATCCATCACTTGTTGTTTATACAGTGTATCATGCAATACTGATCTTCATAATGTTATTACAATGATTTATCAAACATGTAAATTGATGTGTTAACAGGGACCCGAGTCAGATATGAGCATTGCTTTGACTGGGTGTTAAATATTTGTATTACTTTACTAGAAGTCAATAATTGCTTTATTATACAGTATATACTGTATGAAATAATAAAATAATAGCTATTTTAGAAGCTGGTAGCTGGACTCATATGAAGTAATCGAAAATGTTTATCATTGTTCTTCATAAATAGCCAACAAGGAAAGACTGGACAAACAATTGGTGGGAGACAGACAGTGACAATTACATTAAACACATGTATAATAGAAAAAAACCTGTTTTTATTACAATACATATATCAGTCACCTTTTTTAAAATAAAATATTGTAGTAGAAACGGAAATAAACATGATAATGAGATAATTCTCCTCCAAGTATTTCAGATTTCTGTTACTTAACAATTTGAAGCATAGAAATAAGATTAATTCAGGAACTTCCTAAAACACTTACATGTAACTTCAAGAATCTCCAGGCATTTTCTCGCTACTCTCTGTCTCCTATTACGTCACTAGTAAACCTTAAAGAATGAAAATAATGAAAATAAATAATCTATTAATTCTTAAGTTCGGTGAAAAATCTGATTTTTACAAAACTTTATTTTAAAGAGTAACTAATGTATATTATGCCAGTGTCAATCTGTTTTAAAAAAATATATATCAAGCCAGTGTTTCGTATGTTTCCCGTAATTTGTTTTTGGTAACAGTACATGTAGCATTGATACTGGCTATACAGTATATCTGGAGCATATAATCACGTTTATATATACATGTAAGCATGTACATGTATATACTTCATTTAGTTATTCAGGGATGTGCCATTATAACAAGAGTTCTCCCGAAATATACAAGCCAATAAACTAACTGCAGCCAAAAATGAAGCTAGGTCAAAAATATCAAATAGCCACAATATAATAATGTTCGATTCATTGTGCTGACGAAACTTACAAAGCAGAAGACTTACGTTTAATTTCTGAATCAAATGTATCCATAAAAATATTTGAATTCAGGTCCTCAGGATCGTTATGTTACTGGGATTCTTCAAAAGAAAATATGCATGGTAAGATTTTTCATCGTATTAATTTTATAATAGCATAAATGAGAGAAATTATACCCTAGCCCATAAGATTAACACTTTAGTTTCTGCACGTATATGCTGATTATTTGATGCTAGCAAAAGTAAGTCCGACGCAAAAAATATATATAGAAAAAAAACTACCCCTGGTCGATAACAATTCAGCAAAATGACGCGATGTAAGAGTTACAATATCTCCAAAAGAAATATTTGTAACACCAAGACTATCGATGCAAATATAATTGTTTGTATTAGAATGCAAGGATATTTATATGGAAAAATACATGTAGCAACATGATATAACGTCCTGAAAATATTCTAATATTTATAATTATTAATTCTATCAGTACATTATTGATGAATATAACTAATAAAATCGAGAATAATTGAGGTGAAAGTTATAGAAAAAAAATAAGAATAAAAAATAATATGTTGTGTGCCCGCGATTTGAACTCGCCCCGGCAAAACTACACCTTCAGAGCATCGCACCTTCACCATTACACTACAGCGGACGATTTTGTTAGTAATATAAATCAAAACCAACACACTTCGGATGTACACTGATTTTATTATGGGTGTGTGAATTGACACTTTAGTTTATATCTCGTATATAGGAACACTTTCTCATTTTTATATGTTAGTGTATGTTTTGAAAACAACACTGTAGCAAATACAGTTTTGCCATTATGTTTTTTCTGACGATAAATCCCTGCATTTTGTTTGGTTGCAAAATTCTATTTTTAGACGCAGACTCAGACAACGTTATTATGGAAAATACCGTTTACTAACAAAAAAAGAAAAGGTTTTATTTTATTTTTTATACTTGTTATTGTATTTTTACTTACTGCATACTTATCAAAACACTAGGAATATCTACAATGACTATTTTTTCGAAGTCAGATCTGACGTCTGCTCATATGCACAAACGTAAACAAATCACGACAATGTCGCGAATACACAACATGGATATCTTCTACATAATATTGTTACATACCTGTTAAAGAAGTAGACAACTTCTACAAGATGTGCAGATGTGTTGACAGCTCTTCTACGTATACATACTTCAAATGTAGGCTGAAACTTGCAAGATCTTCTATGCGAGTTTAGACTAACGTACAATGTAGCGCATGAGACTCGGGCCTAGGAGATTGCAAAATCTAGGAGTTGTTACCATGGATATTTTTGTCATTTTTCAAAATACATTTTTTTTCATTATTATTATCTAATTTTATTAACAAACATAAGTCAAGTCATTTTTCATGTTTTTGTCTTTTATTTCAGCATCCATTTACTTCCGCAATCTTGTAGTCGGTCTCGACGCTAACGTTACGCTGGGCAACGTCAAAATCTCACCAAAATCGTGAAATGTGGTTACAAATTCAGAAGATATTTGTTATTTTAAATACCTCCCCAGGCATGTACCAAAAAAATATTTGAGCATCGCAAACATAATGTGGAAATTGTTCTCAATGATAAATATAAAATTGGTACACCCTTGGGGAGGTAGTTAATTTTTCGTTCAAAGTCATAAAATATCGAAAAAAATCGTGACTTTTTGTAAACGTGACGTTTTCCCGCGAAATTTGTGACGTCATCACACGCGTTATGAACCTATCTTTATCTGCATTTCAACTGATAAGTTGTTAAATAACAAAAATGGGTACATGATTAAAGAATTTTCTAACAATTAAAAAAAAGATTTTTTGAGGCCAATTTTGAGCCAAAGTGCATCTACTCCTTTATATATAAAAAGTGGAAATCATTGAAACGTTACGGCGATAGAAAATGTGGTAGTTCAAAGATCAATTAGCTATAGGAAAAAACGTGTACATAATAATAGAAACTGTATTGTGGCTATCATAGAAGTAGTTAACATGGATATTTCATCAATAAAGCAAAACATGATAGACATACAAATTACACTCCTACAGATGTAATAAAAAGTTATTTTACCTTTCTTTAAAAATCGTCATAGAAAGCAGCGAAACTTACAATGAATATCAAAACCTAATCAAAATATTGTAATATGATATTATTCACCTGTAGAATCAAAACAAACAACACCAACATCTTCAGTGTGGTCACAGGAGGAACCCGTGGTATTCAAACGACATTCATCCAGCTTTGATTCAGTACCGGAACACTCAACATTTTGAATTAACACTGGGTCGGTACCTTGTCCAAACGCTGCATGTGTATATGGAGAACCGTGACTGAAACAGGAAGTATCCAGATAGCAATTAACCCAGCGATAAATAAATTGATGATGATGCTTAAAAAGCTAATATTAAACCAGATGTAGAAATTACTAAGTACACAGATAACCCTAACCACACACAAACATTAATTTACAACCATCTTAGATCTTGCCGTATTTATTATACAGAAGTATCATATACACCTGATTGCCATTATAATATCCTCTGTAAATCTATCTATTTTATTCTATGAACGATGAATTCCCATCGGAAAAAACAGCAATATTGACTTGGATAGACAAAGACTGACATTGCTGATGTCGTCGATGGAGAAGAAAATGTTTTCCTAGTGTTACGAATAAAGACAGATGATTTTGAATTACCTGTAACCAAGCATCCTACAGACAACTTTAGCATCGTCACTATCCCATACGTCATCGCAAACAGTTCCCCACTGATCACCGTGAAACACTTCCACGCGACCAGAGGTGATGGAAAACCCATTGACCAACCGAATTTCACTCTGTGTGTTATAGGTTGTGGAACTGGGACCAAGGGTCGTTGTAGTAACCGGGGCTGTTGTGGTTATAGGTATCGTGGTTGTTTCTAGTGTAGTAAGGTGAAATATTAAACAGCATGGAAGTGATTGGCATAACAATTCTTACATTCCCTGTATCTGTTTTAAAAACCTAAACTAAAGCATTGATTTCAAATTGAGTGCGCGATTACTCGGTATACCACAAGGTCTTTATACATTAATTTTCTCTCTGTCAATATGTGCAACAACATCACTCACCAAGTAGTCCTGTGCATTTCACGAACGCGCTGTTCTGATAAGAGGATGCAGCTCCCGAGTACACTCCCCAGCCAGCAAAGACACATTGGGCCAAACTTGTTTCTACTCCGACACATTCTACAGAATCCATCCAGGTGGGCTTAGGACGTTCAGTTCCCTCGAATCGGTACAGGTAATTATGCGCTGAACCAGTGCTGAAGTAAGTATGATGAAGATTACGCGAAAACCCATAATTTTTCCTAATCAAAACAATTTCTAAAGTTGTCTCATGACATATCTGAGGTACATGTAACAAAAGGACTCCGAATGCCGTTCTAGCCTTCGAACTTATTTTTATCAAGAGGTAAGAACGCAATGTTGCGAATCGACTTCATTGTTGATATTCAACAAATTTAACAAATTATGCATCATAACAGTAATTCAGAGAACAAATACATGGATCTCGTTCAATATTCTCCTTGGAAATGAAAAACATCCAGGTGCTTGAAAATACACCAGGTACGGTTTTCTAGCTACAAAATAATTCGTATTTGAACCACGATTTTTGTTTTTATACAGAACCCTTTATCCATTGATATCTTAATTACCTGAGTTTGACAGTTATAATAATTTTTTAACTTGCTTTCCTGTCATGCTTGGTCAACTAAAATAACATTATGTTCACTTTCTCGAATGAATTTGAGTTTTCGTCAGTATAGAATTATGATTGTTACTAAATAACGGCCCGTCAACACATAAAATGTCGTCGTTAGGGTTATCAACCGGTGAAATACACATCGACCCAACAAAGAAATAACATCAAACAAACTAAAACGTAAATGACAAACGCTTAAAATCTTCAATGGTTATACTATTACAAAAGATTAAAATGTTAAGTCATATTCTTTAATATAGACCAGCATCTTTCAGAAAACCTAATAAATTTGATTTTAATTTAATTAATTAACTTTATTAATCTCAACAGTTTCAAAAAGGGTCTTTAGAACGTTACGATAAAAAAATTCTCAGTAGTGCAATAAAATATGTTTAAGTTGTCTTTGCCCGTCTTCGGATGGGTCATACTTACCTTTCACATTTATATATGTTGAAAGGCGAAGATAATCATCAGTACATAGAATGTGATAAGCCATTCACCGTTGATAATTTTTCTTGGACTCAATTGACTTACTGTCCACTCGAGAATTTTTTATTGTAACTTTACAAGTCTAAAATCCCGTTTTGAAACTCTTGAGATATATAAAATTCTAGGTTATCTGAAAGATGTTGGTCAATGTTATAGAATATGACTGACCAAGATTGAAATAATAATAATATTAAATTCTGCTACATTCTGACGTAGAGAAAAACGCAATGTTGACAATTGCGATCACTGAAAATTCAGTTTCTAGTGTCATACTTTTATGTTATTCTTGTCCTTATCAATAATCTCACGGAAATTGAATCAATTGAAAGAATGGTTGATCCTTGATGCTTCACAACAAACCTGTATCCGAACATCCTGCAAGCAACATGGGCATCGTTCACTTGCCATTGATATGATCCTACGAAGCCCCAGTAACCCCCGTAGAAAACCTCAATTCGTCCAGAACTCTTGTTATATCCCTCCACTTCCACCAAGCGAAATTTTATGTCTGAAATATCTATGTAATATAATACCAGAGTTAATGTAGGTTAGATTTGTTTGCTTTCTGTTACTTCAACACGTGTGTATATGTTAAGTTTAGTAGGCAGATGCTATGAATATAAAATGGGTGTAGAAAATGGAAAACGCTGCATACTTTCACAGTAAAATACACTATTTTCCTTCAATAGATCAGCAAAAACGAAAAAAGTAAATACAGCACACAATCACACTGAACACCTATTGATTGTAATACACTGTCCAACAGAGTTTTATGATATTATGAGCAACCAAGAAAGTTAGGTAACCATTATTACTAATATCACAGAAGAAAACGGCTCATGTGTTCAGATGAAAAGAAATCCAGCAAAATGAAGTAATACCCGAGTCATTAAAGCAGACAACACCAACATCGTAGGAGTGGGAACATGTAGACCCAAATCCATCATACGGACATTGCAACAGTTGGGTCTCCGAGCCAGAACAGCCGACGTCACTCATCCATGTAATTCCACTTCCCTTGCCAAACACAGCATATCGATAACCTGACCCATACCTATGGAAAAAGGGAATTTCTTGAACAAACGCCGGACGAGATCAGTAAGGAATTTGGCTATCAGAACTCAATATATCGTATGGAAAACGAATATTGACGAAAGAATAAGACTATTGTTATGATTTATTAACAATGAAATACTTACACTATTTAAACGTTGTTTTTGTGTTTTGAGATGATAGTATAACATTTCGCAGTTTCAAACATATTACCACCGTAATATTCCTATATACATACTATCAACCGAAAATGTTCGGGGGAAATATTGTCGCCGCCATGTCCGTTTGTCTTTCAATTCGTCCTTTCGTGTCCGGGGCATAACATTGCCCACATTTAAGAAAGGGTAATGAAACTTCGTGTATACATTGGTCATACTAATGCAATGTGCAGTCCTCGACCGAAAGAGTTACTGCCCTTTGTTAAAATTTTGTGTCTAGAGCACAATATTAAATTGTTTGCAGTTAAACAAGGATAATGAAACTTGCTGTATACATTGATTACCCAAAGACAAGGTACATCATACTGTTGTTAGTGTCCACAACCCTTTAATTACATAATCATTTGCCTTCGTTAAAACCTTGTCTGGTGTTTTACTTTGCCGGCATTTAAATAAACTAAGATAATAAAACGTGATATATACATCAGTCATACAAAAAACAGTGTTGTGATGTCAAAGTCCATGACCCCTCTGTTACAGTGTTATTTTCCTTTGCATTTAAACTAGGATCACGAAACTTAGTGTACACATTCGACATAGTAAAAATGTGCAGTATGCCAACTTCAGGGCCTGCTTAATTACATAATTTTTGCCAATTCTTTTAAATTCGTATCCAATAAAGTCGTTTTAATGGGAGTATTCTTAATGTTCACAGTGTTCTTGGCTGCTTACGTGACCTACATTTGTCAAGTGACTGAGAGCTCCGGTGATTATGTGTACCGAATTGTTGTCATAAAGTCTGGAGAGCAAGGATAATTCTGTTGATACAAATCAGTCTAATATTATCCATTTTGCATTGCTTCAGAAGGTCATGAAGATTTATTTCACTATCATTTTTATGAAGTACAATGTTCACCTGAACCCAAGCATCCGACAGACAACCTGTGCATCATTATTGTCCCAGGACCGGTCACATACAGCTCCCCACTCTCCTGCAAAGAACACCTCCACACGACCAGAGCTGTTGGAAAATCCTCCCACCAACCGAACGGCATGTTCTTCGATGTCTGTAAAGACGAATCAATATTAATATTATTAGGAAAGTTTCGTTTTTAATCTGGAGTACAGTGCAATGGTATTCATTTGCTCTTCGTAATCTTACAGAATTTTTCTCTGGTGTTTAACCACATGCATCAAAATGTTAATAATTGTTGCACTACACGCTCTTTGTTTGAGGGAGAGATCTTCCAATGTTTCAGAGATACCCTCAAAATACAAGGGATATGGAAGTCATTATGATATTTGAAGTGTACGGAATTCTTTCGTACATTTGGTAATATTTTTTGGTAATTTCCTATCTCTTCCTTTCCCTATCTTTGTCCCCGTTTTATTACGGTTTCTTTTAAAATTGTTATCTTCCTGTTTGACTTTAAGTAGAATGACAATAAATAAATAAATAAATTGTTTTTTTCTAAATGTGAAAAAAGAACTAGAGCTGCTCGGTTGTTGATCATATTTCTGTACAACGTGATTCTGCCAATACATGTATGCGCAACAAAACAACGAATGAATATATTGACAATCCGATTTGACAGATGATTCCGAATTTTATTTAATTAAGAGATTAGGTCATGGATGTTTGTTTTAAAATGAAAATTGTTGAAACAACAAAATTCGGGATTAATTCCAAATCTTAAAATGAAAAATGGTTAAAATATCGAAATATGATATCATCAACCAAAAAACTAAACATTTAGTTCGAAACAATGATTAATTTAATCACAGCAAATCATATCGCCGTTTTTTAATCATGACGCAGTGGTTCCTCTTACTTTCCAGTCAAGTTAACGATTAAATTTGAATCGGACATGTAAAAACGCTTTATAAAGTTTACATCTGTGGAATATCAGTCAAAATCATCGTTTATATGGATTCCTAACGTAAAGTGGCAAAGATTATTTTATTGTAATGCAGATCAATAAAATACCAAACATCTTGAAAAATCTTCAGATTTACTCTGGGTAAAAAATCAAACAAGCAGTAAAGGATGTATTGATTTTACTACAGAAATATTGTTATAATTAGCCGTAATATTTCTGTTGTCGCCACTTTATCAAAATAACAAATTAAATCACGAAAATGAGTCTATTTTGCTACTTCAATTCTGATGCTATATCATTGAACTTTTCGTATAAGGACAAATGTGACAAGTTTAAACATACATTTATCACTATCAGATCTAACTCTTTCACTGATACATGTTCATACCCATCCTTCACATAGACAATCACCGATTGTCGTCTCATTGTCGTCATATTGATAACGTTACCACGAAGGTGGAGATGATGACAAGAAAATGCCGTAATAATTAGATATAGTATATGATGATAAATTTTACGATTCCTTCAGCAAAATTACTAATGTTGTCAATTAAAAGTAAAATATGACAACTTAGCATTAGCGAAGAGTCATTATTGTCCACATATTTACCACTATCGCTCAAGCAGGACACAAAAGCAGATCGGAATGCACTACTGATATACGATGATCCCCATCCTTCAAATAGACAGTCGGCGATAGTAGTTTCATTGCCATTACATCGGACGTTTTGCATCCATGTTGGATGTTGTACGTTGTTATAATCTATATCGTAATAAATCCAGTCTCCTTTCCCGGTCCTAATAGAACGAAAAAAGCAATATCAAGTTCATTTTGCTTTAAAGTAATACAATTCATATTACAGAAGGACTAAAAAAAGAAAATGTCTTATACCGGATAAGGTTGTAAGATTTTCAGCTTTGTGAAAGTCTGACATACCTGTATCCAAGCATCCTGCATGCAACATCAGCATCTTTATCGTTCCAGTTTTGATACCCGATATAACCCCAGAGACCAGCATGGTAAACTTCAACTCTGCCAGATCTGTTGTGGTATCCTTCTACCTCCACCAAACGTACCGCCACTTCAGAATTGTCTGATGTAACAGAAGAATATAGAGGAGGATCAAACATTAATTTACATCCAAATTGTGCAAGATATTCGGTGCTGCTTTCTGCCTGGTGTTGCATTTTTCTCAATGACAATACAGGTATAGAAATGAAGCAGCCGAGGTTCCATACATGTGAATGAAAATACACGTTTCTATGTTCGTAGAATGATATATTTCAGTTGTCAAAAAAATCGTTCAATACGCAATGACCAGTGCCTTTGACATATACAACAGAAACAGACAATGTCTCTTAGATTGGTTTACAACAACAAAGTTCCAGTTGTATCCATAATGAGCCGAGAATGATTATGGCAAGTTGCAAATGGCCCAATCACCATCGATAATAATTTGGTATTAGCATTCAGACAATTAATTATATTCCTGTATTACAATGTTATATCGATTTTTAATGCTGAGACGAAAAAAGAAAACGTAACACTTTATGTTGTGATCCTTGGTCAAGCATTTGATTAATTAGAATAAATCTGGGTCATTTTGTATTGCAAAACCTTTTCGTTAAGTTAGTTGCATTCAAAGTTTAAGAACAGTGGCTCAAGTTCAGTCATAACACCCTTGGTATCGTGTTTGGCTGGCGCTGATTATGTCAACAAAAAACAACATAATTATTAGCTAAACCCCAATTCATTAAGGGTAGGGCAAAATATGAACAAAAGGAAATAAATCCATGGTAACTCCTGAAACAGTACAAGAGGAATGTGAGAAGGAGTTCCGGAAGAGTAGGCGTCTTCTGCTTCATCGACAACATAACAGTTTGGGTTGATAGAACCATTGATCTTAAGCTTTCGTCCCAATATCGTAAGCAAGGGTTAAACTATTTTTATAACAACAAACATCTCGGTTATGTCACAACAAATTCGGGCCCATGTCGAGACGCAACTCCTCCTAAGAGCTCTTCTTTGGGCAAACACATACCGCTCAAATAACATACTGTAATTTAAGTTACAATCGTCCGTTTAGGGGACAATCGGATGTTGACCAAGATTGATTCTAGTCACTTAATTACTGGTAATTGTTTTAACAAGGAAACCAAAATGTTGTCCCGCTTGACTCCAAGACTCTACAGACTGCATCATGACCAAAGACTCTCCCTTTGTGTTTGCAACAGCAGAGGAATTACGTTAAAGTCGAAATATAGGAAATTTCTGCAAATTGTATGAACTTTGAGTGTAAGGAAAAACTGTCATTTTATTTAGTTTTTAAGGAAAACAAACGAAGATACAAGGTAGTCGCGTAAATCCTCGAGGAGCTTTCGAGGATTGGGTTATGCTAACTTTTGCAAAGATTTTAATATTGCAAAGAAGAAGTAGAAAACAATGTTTAACTCATTTACAGTCCAGAAAACATGCTGACGTTTTGTGTTCATTGGACATATATGTATTGTTTTGTATCGCACAACTAGTTTAGTCATTTGTGTTTTATATAATTATCGTGTGATATTCATCAGACAATGTCCACAAATATCTGATGAAAGTGGAAGTGCCACCATCGTTATGTCATACAGAATACATCTAACGTCGATTACCTGTATCGTTAAAACAAAATACACCAACATCAGAAGAGTGCGAACAGGTGGATCCCCATCCATCAAAGTCACAATCGTATAACGTTGATTCCGACCCAGAACATCCAAGTGATTTCATCCACACCACTCCCGTACCACGAGGAAAGCCTGCAGTGCCGTAGTTTACAGTATTACTGTAACAAAGAAAGGATGATACAAAACAATACAATACTGCTATGCGCCATACCCTCATCCAGAATGACGTTATTCTACCAGACTGTAATATTGTTCCACTCATCACGATAGTGAATCTAATTTTCATTCCCTGAAACATTTTAATGACTTCCCATTTCAACAGTACACTTAAAGCTCATTTTAAACCACAGTTTTATTTTAACCACACTGTACTACATGGGTTGTTACTTCGTAAACTACCGATATATCCTATTCGAACCTGTATCCTAGCATCCGACAGGCCACTTGTGCGTCTCCATAGCCCCAGCCACTGCTACATACTGTTCCCCACTGTCCATCATAGAATACCTCCACGCGGCCAGAAGTGTTAGAAAATCCTTCCATCAGCCTCAGATCGAACTCGGCCACATCTGTTAACCAGAAACGAATGATTTCTAAAAGAATGAATGACAGCAATGCTTGTCCAAAACTTTATTCAGGTTGCGTATTCGAAACATTCATTACCCTACATTATTCCTGAACAGCTGCTGGAAATACGATTAATCAATGAATTATTATATTTCTAATAAAACATACTGTTAACACTAAAGGTTGCCCACTAAATACATGTTTTCTTATTTCCATTTGAAATTGTAAAATAGATGAGTGTATATATGTATAGATATAACAAACATTTGGTCACGCCATACGTGATCAGCATTCATACTCATTTACAGTCACATTAAAACAATCCACAACATAGTACCTAATGTCATCAGTATAAATGACCACGAAATTATCAACTGTTATATCCTTGTCGGTACTGGAGTAACTCTTCAGAGACAATATTTGATTTCAATATATAACGATATGTAATAGGCTGGAAACTCTAAACTGTTATTCAATAGCATTCAACTCCGTCCAAGTCTTTTTGTTTAATTAAGAAAGAGGACATGTTTGAAGTGCTGCACATTTCAAACTTGATAGTTTCATATCGTGTATTCTTTACTGTGAACCCGAGCAGGTAGGGCTCAAGATTTGTAATTGCTATCCCGATAACATAGATTGTATGTAGCGACTTAACTGATGTTCTTTGACCCTTTTCTTCCAAATTATATAACAACGTTTTCTTCCCGCGTCGCTACTTATCAATATCTTACTTTTGATTCATGATGAATGTCCACCCGAATGAATGGTTAAGGGTTTATACAGTTGTAAGGTTATGATCTGATCTTAATGCTCACAAAAATAGGACAGTGTATGATCCTACATTTCAGCTGTCATATTTTATAAACTTTTATTCAAGATAACACTAGAGAAATGATCAATGATTACATATCGGGTAGCGACGAACCTCGGGGACTAAAAATTTACGAACTGTGTTTCCCATTCAGCAAACTCGACATTATGATGCATTTTCCTATTTTTCATGCCTTTGTACAGTATTATTTTCGATAAAAGTTTCTGAAATTTTCAATGACTGAATACCAGAAATAGTCTCATTGATCGTATTTCAAAGAAGGATAAGCTCATGAAAAGAACATACCAACATACTAAAGGATGAGTGAATTATGCTAAATTTTACTATTGTTGAAATAAAATAAAACTACTCAAGTAAAATATGACAGTTATAAAATCTGAGTTTTAACGAAGACCAATTATATTCACATATTTACCACTATCACTCAAGCAGGACACAAAAGCAGATCGGAATGAACTACTGACATACGATGATCCCCATCCTTCAAATAGACAGTCGGCGATAGTAGTTTCATTGCCATTACACCGGACGTTGTTCATCCATGTTGGATGTTGTACGTTGTTACGATCTAAATAATTGTAAATCCAGTCTCCTTTCCCGGTCCTAATAGAACGAAAAAAGCAATATCAAGTTCATTTTGCTTTAAAGTAATACAATTCATATTACAGAAGGACTAAAAAAGGAAAATGTCTTATACCGGATAAGGTTGTAAGATTTTCAGCTTTGTGAAAGTCTGACATACTTGTATCCAAGCATCCTGCATACAACATCAGCATCTTTATCGTTCCAGTTGTAATACCCGATATAACCCCAGAGACCAGCATGGTAAACTTCTACTCTGCCAGATCTGTTGTGGTATCCTTCTACCTCCACCAAACGTACCGCCACTTCAGAATTGTCTGATGTAACAGAAGAATATAGAGGAGGATCAAACATTAATTTACATCCAAATTGTGCAAGACATTCAGTGCTACTTTCTGCCTGGTGTTGCATTTTTCTCAATGACAATACAGGTATAGAAATGAAGCAGCCGAGGTTACAGACATGTTAATGAAAATACACGTTTCTATGTTCGTAGAATGATATATTTCAGTTGTCAAGAAAATCGTTCAATACGCAATGACCAGTGTCTTCGACATATAAAACAGAAAAAGACAATGTCTCTTAGATTGGTTTACGACATCAAGGTTCCAGTTGTATCCTTAATGAGCCGAGAATAATTATGGCAAGTTGCAAATGGCCCAATCACCATCGATAATAATTTCTTATTAGCTTTAAGACAATTAATTATATTCCTGTATTACAATATTATATTAATTTTTTATGCTGTAACGAAAAAAGAAAACGTAACGCTTCATGTTGTGAGATCCTTGTTCAAGCATTTGATTAATTCAAATAAAGCTGGGTCATTTTGTATTGCAAAACCTTTTCGTTAAGTTAGTTGCATTCAAAGTTTAAGGACAGTGGCTCAAGTTCAGTCATAACACCTTTGGTATCATGTTTGGCAGGCGCTCATAAAGTCAACAAAAACAGCATAATTATAATCTAAACCCCAATTCATTAAGGGTAGGGCAAAATATGAACAAAAGGAAATAAATCCATGGTAACTCCTGAAACAGTACAAGAGGAATGTGAGAAGGAGTTCCGGAAGAGTAGGCGTCTTCTGCTTCATCGACAACATAACAGTTTGGGTTGATAGAACCATTGATCTTAAGCTTTCGTCCCAATATCGTAAGCAAGGGTTAAACTATTTTTATAACAACAAACATCTCGGTTATGTCACAACAAATTCGGGCCCATGTCGAGACGCAACTCCTCCTAAGAGCTCTTTGGGCAAACACATACCGCTCAAATAACATACTGTAATTTAAGTTACAATCGTCCGTTTAGGGGACAATCGGATGTTGACCAAGATTGATTCTAGTCACTTAATTACTGGTAATTGTTTTAACAAGGAAACCAAAATGTTGTCCCGCTTGACTCCAAGACTCTACAGACTGCATCATGACCAAAGACTCTCCCTTTGTGTTTGCAACAGCAGAGGAATTACGTTAAAGTCGAAATATAGGAAATTTCTGCAAATTGTAGGACCTTTGAATGTAAGGCAAAACTGTCATTTTATTTATTTTTTAAGGAAAACAAACGAAGATACAAGGTAGTCGCGTAAATCCTCGAGGAGCTTTCGAGGATTGGGTTATGCTAACTTTTGCAAAGATTTTAATATTGCAAAGAAGAAGTAGAAAACAACGTTTAACTCATTTACAGTCCAGAAAACATGCTGACGTTTTGTGTTCATTGGACATATATGTATTGTTTTGTATCGCACAACTAGTTTAGTCATTTGTGTTTTATATAATTATCGTGTGATATTCATCAGACAATGTCCACAAAAATCTGATGAAAGTGGAAGTGCCACCATCGTTATGTCATACAGAATACATCTAACGTCGATTACCTGTATCGTTAAAACAAAATACACCAACATCAGAAGAGTGCGAACAGGTGGATCCCCATCCATCAAAGTCACAATCGTATAACGTTGATTCCGACCCAGAACATCCAAGTGATTTCATCCACACCACTCCCGTACCACGAGGAAAGCCTGCAGTGCCGTAGTTTACAGTATTACTGTAACAAAGAAAGGATGATACAAAACAATACAATACTGCTATGCGCCATACCCTCATCCAGAATGACGTTATTCTACCAGACTGTAATATTGTTCCACTCATCACGATAGTGAATCTAATTTTCATTCCCTGAAACATTTTAATGACTTCCCATTTCAAGAGTACACTTAAAGCTCATTTTAAACCACAGTTTTATTTTAACCACACTGTACTACATGGGTTGTTACTTCGTAAACTACCGATATATCCTATTCGAACCTGTATCCTAGCATCCGACAGGCCACTTGTGCGTCTCCATAGCCCCAGCCACTGCTACATACTGTTCCCCACTGTCCATCATAGAATACCTCCACGCGGCCAGAAGTGTTAGAAAATCCTTCCATCAGCCTCAGATCGAACTCGGCCACATCTGTTAACCAGAAACGAATGATTTCTAAAAGAATGAATGACAGCAATGCTTGTCCAAAACTTTATTCAGGTTGCGTATTCGAAACATTCATTACCCTACATTATTCCTGAACAGCTGCTGGAAATACGATTAATCAATGAATTATTATATTTCTAATAAAACATACTGTTAACACTAAAGGTTGCCCACTAAATACATGTTTTCTTATTTCCATTTGAAATTGTAAAATAGATGAGTGTATATATGTATAGATATAACAAACATTTGGTCACGCCATACGTGATCAGCATTCATACTCATTTACAGTCACATTAAAACAATCCACAACATAGTACCTAATGTCATCAGTATAAATGACCACGAAATTATCAACTGTTATATCCTTGTCGGTACTGGAGTAACTCTTCAGAGACAATATTTGATTTCAATATATAACGATATGTAATAGGCTGGAAACTCTAAACTGTTATTCAATAGCATTCAACTCCGTCCAAGTCTTTTTGTTTAATTAAGAAAGAGGACATGTTTGAAGTGCTGCACATTTCAAACTTGATAGTTTCATATCGTGTATTTTTTACTGTGAACCCGAGCAGGTAGGGCTCAAGATTTGTAATTGCTATCCCGATAACATAGATTGTATGTAGCGACTTAACTGATGTTCTTTGACCCTTTTCTTCCAAATTATATAACAACGTTTTCTTCCCGCGTCGCTACTTAGCAATATCTTACTTTTGATTCATGATGAATGTCCACCCGAATGAATGGTTAAGGGTTTATACAGTTGTAAGGTTATGATCTGATCTTAATGCTCACAAAAATAGGACAGTGTATGATCCTACATTTCAGCTGTCATATTTTATAAACTTTTATTCAAGATAACACTAGAGAAATGATCAATGATTACATATCGGGTAGCGACGAACCTCGGGGACTAAAAATTTACGAACTGTGTTTCCCATTCAGCAAACTCGACATTATGATGCATTTTCCTATTTTTCATGCCTTTGTACAGTATTATTTTCGATAAAAGTTTCTGAAATTTTCAATGACTGAATACCAGAAATAGTCTCATTGATCGTATTTCAAAGAAGGATAAGCTCATGAAAAGAACATACCAACATACTAAAGGATGAGTGAATTATGCTAAATTTTACTATTGTTGAAATAAAATAAAACTACTCAAGTAAAATATGACAGTTATAAAATCTGAGTTTTAACGAAGACCAATTATATTCACATATTTACCACTATCACTCAAGCAGGACACAAAAGCAGATCCGAATGAACTACTGACATACGATGATCCCCATCCTTCAAATAGACAGTCGGCGATAGTAGTTTCATTGCCATTACACCGGACGTTGTTCATCCATGTTGGATGTTGTACGTTGTTACGATCTAAATAATTGTAAATCCAGTCTCCTTTCCCGGTCCTAATAGAACGAAAAAAGCAATATCAAGTTCATTTTGCTTTAAAGTAATACAATTCATATTACAGAAGGACTAAAAAAGGAAAATGTCTTATACCGGATAAGGTTGTAAGATTTTCAGCTTTGTGAAAGTCTGACATACTTGTATCCAAGCATCCTGCATACAACATCAGCATCTTTATCGTTCCAGTTGTAATACCCGATATAACCCCAGAGACCAGCATGGTAAACTTCTACTCTGCCAGATCTGTTGTGGTATCCTTCTACCTCCACCAAACGTACCGCCACTTCAGAATTGTCTGATGTAACAGAAGAATATAGAGGAGGATCAAACATTAATTTACATCCAAATTGTGCAAGACATTCAGTGCTACTTTCTGCCTGGTGTTGCATTTTTCTCAATGACAATACAGGTATAGAAATGAAGCAGCCGAGGTTACAGACATGTTAATGAAAATACACGTTTCTATGTTCGTAGAATGATATATTTCAGTTGTCAAGAAAATCGTTCAATACGCAATGACCAGTGTCTTCGACATATAAAACAGAAAAAGACAATGTCTCTTAGATTGGTTTACGACATCAAGGTTCCAGTTGTATCCTTAATGAGCCGAGAATAATTATGGCAAGTTGCAAATGGCCCAATCACCATCGATAATAATTTCTTATTAGCTTTAAGACAATTAATTATATTCCTGTATTACAATATTATATTAATTTTTTATGCTGTAACGAAAAAAGAAAACGTAACGCTTCATGTTGTGAGATCCTTGTTCAAGCATTTGATTAATTCAAATAAAGCTGGGTCATTTTGTATTGCAAAACCTTTTCGTTAAGTTAGTTGCATTCAAAGTTTAAGGACAGTGGCTCAAGTTCAGTCATAACACCTTTGGTATCATGTTTGGCAGGCGCTCATAAAGTCAACAAAAACAGCATAATTATAATCTAAACCCCAATTCATTAAGGGTAGGGCAAAATATGAACAAAAGGAAATAAATCCATGGTAACTCCTGAAACAGTACAAGAGGAATGTGAGAAGGAGTTCCGGAAGAGTAGGCGTATTCTGCTTCATCGACAACATAACAGTTTGGGTTGATAGAACCATTGATCTTAAGCTTTCGTCCCAATATCGTAAGCAAGGGTTAAACTATTTTTATAACAACAAACATCTCGGTTATGTCACAACAAATTCGGGCCCATGTCGAGACGCAACTCCTCCTAAGAGCTCTTTGGGCAAACACATACCGCTCAAATAACATACTGTAATTTAAGTTACAATCGTCCGTTTAGGGGACAATCGGATGTTGACCAAGATTGATTCTAGTCACTTAATTACTGGTAATTGTTTTAACAAGGAAACCAAAATGTTGTCCCGCTTGACTCCAAGACTCTACAGACTGCATCATGACCAAAGACTCTCCCTTTGTGTTTGCAACAGCAGAGGAATTACGTTAAAGTCGAAATATAGGAAATTTCTGCAAATTGTAGGACCTTTGAATGTAAGGCAAAACTGTCATTTTATTTATTTTTTAAGGAAAACAAACGAAGATACAAGGTAGTCGCGTAAATCCTCGAGGAGCTTTCGAGGATTGGGTTATGCTAACTTTTGCAAAGATTTTAATATTGCAAAGAAGAAGTAGAAAACAACGTTTAACTCATTTACAGTCCAGAAAACATGCTGACGTTTTGTGTTCATTGGACATATATGTATTGTTTTGTATCGCACAACTAGTTTAGTCATTTGTGTTTTATATAATTATCGTGTGATATTCATCAGACAATGTCCACAAATATCTGATGAAAGTGGAAGTGCCACCATCGTTATGTCATACAGAATACATCTAACGTCGACTACCTGTATCGTTAAAGCAAAATACACCAACATCAGAAGAGTGCGAACAGGTGGATCCCCATCCATCAAAGTCACAATCGTATAACGTTGATTCCGACCCAGAACATCCAAGTGATTTCATCCACACCACTCCCGTACCACGAGGAAAGCCTGCAGTGCCGTAGTTTACAGTATTACTGTAACAAAGAAAGGATGATACAAAACAATACAATACTGCTATGCGCCATACCCTCATCCAGAATGACGTTATTCTACCAGACTGTAATATTGTTCCACTCATCACGATAGTGAATCTAATTTTCATTCCCTGAAACATTTTAATGACTTCCCATTTCAACAGTACACTTAAAGCTCATTTTAAACCACAGTTTTATTTTAACCACACTGTACTACATGGGTTGTTACTTCGTAAACTACCGATTATATCCTATTCGAACCTGTATCCTAGCATCCGACAGGCCACTTGTGCGTCTCCATAGCCCCAGCCACTGCTACATACTGTTCCCCACTGTCCATCATAGAATACCTCCACGCGGCCAGAAGTGTTAGAAAATCCTTCCATCAGCCTCAGATCGAACTCGGCCACATCTGTTAACCAGAAACGAATGATTTCTAAAAGAATGAATGACAGCAATGCTTGTCCAAAACTTTATTCAGGTTGCGTATTCGAAACATTCATTACCCTACATTATTCCTGAACAGCTGCTGGAAATACGATTAATCAATGAATTATTATATTTCTAATAAAACATACTGTTAACACTAAAGGTTGCCCACTAAATACATGTTTTCTTATTTCCATTTGAAATTGTAAAATAGATGAGTGTATATATGTATAGATATAACAAACATTTGGTCACGCCATACGTGATCAGCATTCATACTCATTTACAGTCACATTAAAACAATCCACAACATAGTACCTAATGTCATCAGTATAAATGACCACGAAATTATCAACTGTTATATCCTTGTCGGTACTGGAGTAACTCTTCAGAGACAATATTTGATTTCAATATATAACGATATGTAATAGGCTGGAAACTCTAAACTGTTATTCAATAGCATTCAACTCGGTCCAAGTCTTTTTGTTTAATTAAGAAAGAGGACATGTTTAAAGTGCTGCACATTTCAAACTTGATAGTTTCATATCGTGTATTTTTTACTGTGAACCCGAGCAGGTAGGGCTCAAGATTTGTAATTGCTATCCCGATAACATAGATTGTATGTAGCGACTTAACTGATGTTCTTTGACCCTTTTCTTCCAAATTATATAACAACGTTTTCTTCCCGCGTCGCTACTTAGCAATATCTTACTTTTGATTCATGATGAATGTCCACCCGAATGAATGGTTAAGGGTTTATACAGTTGTAAGGTTATGATCTGATCTTAATGCTCACAAAAATAGGACAGTGTATGATCCTACATTTCAGCTGTCATATTTTATAAACTTTTATTCAAGATAACACTAGAGAAATGATCAATGATTACATATCGGGTAGCGACGAACCTCGGGGACTAAAAATTTACGAACTGTGTTTCCCATTCAGCAAACTCGACATTATGATGCATTTTCTTATTTTTCATGCCTTTGTACAGTATTATTTTCGATAAAAGTTTCTGAAATTTTCAATGACTGAATACCAGAAATAGTCTCATTGATCGTATTTCAAAGAAGGATAAGCTCATGAAAAGAACATACCAACATACTAAAGGATGAGTGAATTATGCTAAATTTTACTATTGTTGAAATAAAATAAAACTACTCAAGTAAAATATGACAGTTATAAAATCTGAGTTTTAACGAAGACCAATTATATTCACATATTTACCACTATCACTCAAGCAGGACACAAAAGCAGATCGGAATGAACTACTGACATACGATGGTCCCCATCCTTCAAATAGACAGTCGGCGATAGTAGTTTCATTGCCATTACACCGGACGTTGTTCATCCATGTTGGATGTTGTACGTTGTTACGATCTAAATAATTGTAAATCCAGTCTCCTTTCCCGGTCCTAATAGAACGAAAAAAGCAATATCAAGTTCATTTTGCTTTAAAGTAATACAATTCATATTACAGAAGGACTAAAAAAGGAAAATGTCTTATACCGGATAAGGTTGTAAGATTTTCAGCTTTGTGAAAGTCTGACATACTTGTATCCAAGCATCCTGCATACAACATCAGCATCTTTATCGTTCCAGTTGTAATACCCGATATAACCCCAGAGACCAGCATGGTAAACTTCTACTCTGCCAGATCTGTTGTGGTATCCTTCTACCTCCACCAAACGTACCGCCACTTCAGAATTGTCTGATGTAACAGAAGAATATAGAGGAGGATCAAACATTAATTTACATCCAAATTGTGCAAGATATTCGGTGCTGCTTTCTGCCTGGTGTTGCATTTTTCTCAATGACAATACAGGTATAGAAATGAAGCAGCCGAGGTTACAGACATGTTAATGAAAATACACGTTTCTATGTTCGTAGAATGATATATTTCAGTTGTCAAGAAAATCGTTCAATACGCAATGACCAGTGTCTTCGACATATAAAACAGAAAAAGACAATGTCTCTTAGATTGGTTTACGACATCAAGGTTCCAGTTGTATCCTTAATGAGCCGAGAATAATTATGGCAAGTTGCAAATGGCCCAATCACCATCGATAATAATTTCTTATTAGCTTTAAGACAATTAATTATATTCCTGTATTACAATATTATATTAATTTTTTATGCTGTAACGAAAAAAGAAAACGTAACGCTTCATGTTGTGAGATCCTTGTTCAAGCATTTGATTAATTCAAATAAAGCTGGGTCATTTTGTATTGCAAAACCTTTTCGTTAAGTTAGTTGCATTCAAAGTTTAAGGACAGTGGCTCAAGTTCAGTCATAACACCTTTGGTATCATGTTTGGCAGGCGCTCATAAAGTCAACAAAAACAGCATAATTATAATCTAAACCCCAATTCATTAAGGGTAGGGCAAAATATGAACAAAAGGAAATAAATCCATGGTAACTCCTGAAACAGTACAAGAGGAATGTGAGAAGGAGTTCCGGAAGAGTAGGCGTCTTCTGCTTCATCGACAACATAACAGTTTGGGTTGATAGAACCATTGATCTTAAGCTTTCGTCCCAATATCGTAAGCAAGGGTTAAACTATTTTTATAACAACAAACATCTCGGTTATGTCACAACAAATTCGGGCCCATGTCGAGACGCAACTGCTTCGATTCCTAAGCTTCAGCCTCATAAGAGCTCTTTGGGCAAACACATACCGCTCAAATAACATACTGTAATTTAAGTTACAATCGTCCGTTTAGGGGACAATCGGATGTTGACCAAGATTGATTCTAGTCACTTAATTACTGGTAATTGTTTTAACAAGGAAACCAAAATGTTGTCCCGCTTGACTCCAAGACTCTACAGACTGCATCATGACCAAAGACTCTCCCTTTGTGTTTGCAACAGCAGAGGAATTACGTTAAAGTCGAAATATAGGAAATTTCTGCAAATTGTAGGACCTTTGAATGTAAGGCAAAACTGTCATTTTATTTATTTTTTAAGGAAAACAAACGAAGATACAAGGTAGTCGCGTAAATCCTCGAGGAGCTTTCGAGGATTGGGTTATGCTAACTTTTGCAAAGATTTTAATATTGCAAAGAAGAAGTAGAAAACAACGTTTAACTCATTTACAGTCCAGAAAACATGCTGACGTTTTGTGTTCATTGGACATATATGTATTGTTTTGTATCGCACAACTAGTTTAGTCATTTGTGTTTTATATAATTATCGTGTGATATTCATCAGACAATGTCCACAAAAATCTGATGAAAGTGGAAGTGCCACCATCGTTATGTCATACAGAATACATCTAACGTCGATTACCTGTATCGTTAAAACAAAATACACCAACATCAGAAGAGTGCGAACAGGTGGATCCCCATCCATCAAAGTCACAATCGTATAACGTTGATTCCGACCCAGAACATCCAAGTGATTTCATCCACACCACTCCCGTACCACGAGGAAAGCCTGCAGTGCCGTAGTTTACAGTATTACTGTAACAAAGAAAGGATGATACAAAACAATACAATACTGCTATGCGCCATACCCTCATCCAGAATGACGTTATTCTACCAGACTGTAATATTGTTCCACTCATCACGATAGTGAATCTAATTTTCATTCCCTGAAACATTTTAATGACTTCCCATTTCAACAGTACACTTAAAGCTCATTTTAAACCACAGTTTTATTTTAACCACACTGTACTACATGGGTTGTTACTTCGTAAACTACCGATTATATCCTATTCGAACCTGTATCCTAGCATCCGACAGGCCACTTGTGCGTCTCCATAGCCCCAGCCACTGCTACATACTGTTCCCCACTGTCCATCATAGAATACCTCCACGCGGCCAGAAGTGTTAGAAAATCCTTCCATCAGCCTCAGATCGAACTCGGCCACATCTGTTAACCAGAAACGAATGATTTCTAAAAGAATGAATGACAGCAATGCTTGTCCAAAACTTTATTCAGGTTGCGTATTCGAAACATTCATTACCCTACATTATTCCTGAACAGCTGCTGGAAATACGATTAATCAATGAATTATTATATTTCTAATAAAACATACTGTTAACACTAAAGGTTGCCCACTAAATACATGTTTTCTTATTTCCATTTGAAATTGTAAAATAGATGAGTGTATATATGTATAGATATAACAAACATTTGGTCACGCCATACGTGATCAGCATTCATACTCATTTACAGTCACATTAAAACAATCCACAACATAGTACCTAATGTCATCAGTATAAATGACCACGAAATTATCAACTGTTATATCCTTGTCGGTACTGGAGTAACTCTTCAGAGACAATATTTGATTTCAATATATAACGATATGTAATAGGCTGGAAACTCTAAACTGTTATTCAATAGCATTCAACTCCGTCCAAGTCTTTTTGTTTAATTAAGAAAGAGGACATGTTTGAAGTGCTGCACATTTCAAACTTGATAGTTTCATATCGTGTATTTTTTACTGTGAACCCGAGCAGGTAGGGCTCAAGATTTGTAATTGCTATCCCGATAACATAGATTGTATGTAGCGACTTAACTGATGTTCTTTGACCCTTTTCTTCCAAATTATATAACAACGTTTTCTTCCCGCGTCGCTACTTAGCAATATCTTACTTTTGATTCATGATGAATGTCCACCCGAATGAATGGTTAAGGGTTTATACAGTTGTAAGGTTATGATCTGATCTTAATGCTCACAAAAATAGGACAGTGTATGATCCTACATTTCAGCTGTCATATTTTATAAACTTTTATTCAAGATAACACTAGAGAAATGATCAATGATTACATATCGGGTAGCGACGAACCTCGGGGACTAAAAATTTACGAACTGTGTTTCCCATTCAGCAAACTCGACATTATGATGCATTTTCCTATTTTTCATGCCTTTGTACAGTATTATTTTCGATAAAAGTTTCTGAAATTTTCAATGACTGAATACCAGAAATAGTCTCATTGATCGTATTTCAAAGAAGGATAAGCTCATGAAAAGAACATACCAACATACTAAAGGATGAGTGAATTATGCTAAATTTTACTATTGTTGAAATAAAATAAAACTACTCAAGTAAAATATGACAGTTATAAAATCTGAGTTTTAACGAAGACCAATTATATTCACATATTTACCACTATCACTCAAGCAGGACACAAAAGCAGATCGGAATGAACTACTGACATACGATGATCCCCATCCTTCAAATAGACAGTCGGCGATAGTAGTTTCATTGCCATTACACCGGACGTTGTTCATCCATGTTGGATGTTGTACGTTGTTACGATCTAAATAATTGTAAATCCCGTCTCCTTTCCCGGTCCTAATAGAACGAAAAAAGCAATATCAAGTTAATTTTGCTTTAAAGTAATACAATTCATATTACAGAAGGACTAAAAAAGGAAAATGTCTTATACCGGATAAGGTTGTAAGATTTTCAGCTTTGTGAAAGTCTGACATACTTGTATCCAAGCATCCTGCATACAACATCAGCATCTTTATCGTTCCAGTTGTAATACCCGATATAACCCCAGAGACCAGCATGGTAAACTTCTACTCTGCCAGATCTGTTGTGGTATCCTTCTACCTCCACCAAACGTACCGCCACTTCAGAATTGTCTGATGTAACAGAAGAATATAGAGGAGGATCAAACATTAATTTACATCCAAATTGTGCAAGACATTCAGTGCTACTTTCTGCCTGGTGTTGCATTTTTCTCAATGACAATACAGGTATAGAAATGAAGCAGCCGAGGTTACAGACATGTTAATGAAAATACACGTTTCTATGTTCGTAGAATGATATATTTCAGTTGTCAAGAAAATCGTTCAATACGCAATGACCAGTGTCTTCGACATATAAAACAGAAAAAGACAATGTCTCTTAGATTGGTTTACGACATCAAGGTTCCAGTTGTATCCTTAATGAGCCGAGAATAATTATGGCAAGTTGCAAATGGCCCAATCACCATCGATAATAATTTCTTATTAGCTTTAAGACAATTAATTATATTCCTGTATTACAATGCTATATTAATTTTTTATGCTGTAACGAAAAAAGAAAACGTAACGCTTCATGTTGTGAGATCCTTGTTCAAGCATTTGATTAATTCAAATAAAGCTGGGTCATTTTGTATTGCAAAACCTTTTCGTTAAGTTAGTTGCATTCAATGTTTAAGGACAGTGGCTCAAGTTCAGTCATAACACCTTTGGTATCATGTTTGGCAGGCGCTCATAAAGTCAACAAAAACAGCATAATTATAATCTAAACCCCAATTCATTAAGGGTAGGGCAAAATATGAACAAAAGGAAATAAATCCATGGTAACTCCTGAAACAGTACAAGAGGAATGTGAGAAGGAGTTCCGGAAGAGTAGGCGTATTCTGCTTCATCGACAACATAACAGTTTGGGTTGATAGAACCATTGATCTTAAGCTTTCGTCCCAATATCGTAAGCAAGGGTTAAACTATTTTTATAACAACAAACATCTCGGTTATGTCACAACAAATTCGGGCCCATGTCGAGACGCAACTCCTCCTAAGAGCTCTTTGGGTAAACACATACCGCTCAAATAACATACTGTAATTTAAGTTACAATCGTCCGTTTAGGGGACAATCGGATGTTGACCAAGATTGATTCTAGTCACTTAATTACTGGTAATTGTTTTAACAAGGAAACCAAAATGTTGTCCCGCTTGACTCCAAGGCTCTACAGACTGCATCATGACCAAAGACTCTCCCTTTGTGTTTGCAACAGCAGAGGAATTACGTTAAAGTCGAAATATAGGAAGTTTCTGCAAATTGTAGGACCTTTGAATGTAAGGCAAAACTGTCATTTTATTTATTTTTTAAGGAAAACAAACGAAGATACAAGGTAGTCGCGTAAATCCTCGAGGAGCTTTCGAGGATTGGGTTATGCTAACTTTTGCAAAGATTTTAATATTGCAAAGAAGAAGTAGAAAACAACGTTTAACTCATTTACAGTCCAGAAAACATGCTGACGTTTTGTGTTCATTGGACATATATGTATTGTTTTGTATCGCACAACTAGTTTAGTCATTTGTGTTTTATATAATTATCGTGTGATATTCATCAGACAATGTCCACAAATATCTGATGAAAGTGGAAGTGCCACCATCGTTATGTCATACAGAATACATCTAACGTCGATTACCTGTATCGTTAAAACAAAATACACCAACATCAGAAGAGTGCGAACAGGTGGATCCCCATCCATCAAAGTCACAATCGTATAACGTTGATTCCGACCCAGAACATCCAAGTGATTTCATCCACACCACTCCCGTACCACGAGGAAAGCCTGCAGTGCCGTAGTTTACAGTATTACTGTAACAAAGAAAGGATGATACAAAACAATACAATACTGCTATGCGCCATACCCTCATCCAGAATGACGTTATTCTACCAGACTGTAATATTGTTCCACTCATCACGATAGTGAATCTAATTTTCATTCCCTGAAACATTTTAATGACTTCCCATTTCAAGAGTACACTTAAAGCTCATTTTAAACCACAGTTTTATTTTAACCACACAGTACTACATGGGTTGTTACTTCGTAAACTACCGATATATCCTATTCGAACCTGTATCCTAGCATCCGACAGGCCACTTGTGCGTCTCCATAGCCCCAGCCACTGCTACATACTGTTCCCCACTGTCCATCATAGAATACCTCTACGCGGCCAGAAGTGTTAGAAAATCCTTCCATCAGCCTCAGATCGAACTCGGCCACATCTGTCAACCAGAAACGAATGATTTCTAAAAGAATGAATGACAGCAATGCTTGTCCAAAACTTTATTCAGGTTGCGTATTCGAAACATTCATTACCCTACATTATTCCTGAACAGCTGCTGGAAATACGATTAATCAATGAATTATTATATTTCTAATAAAACATACTGTTAACACTAAAGGTTGCCCACTAAATACATGTTTTCTTATTTCCATTTGAAATTGTAAAATAGATGAGTGTATATATGTATAGATATAACAAACATTTGGTCACGCCATACGTGATCAGCTTTCATACTCATTTACAGTCACATTAAAACAATCCACAACATAGTACCTAATGACATCAGTATAAATGACCACGAAATTATCAACTGTTATATCCTTGTCGGTACTGGAGTAACTCTTCAGAGACAATATTTGATTTCAATATATAACGATATGTAATAGGCTGGAAACTCTAAACTGTTATTCAATAGCATTCAACTCCGTCCAAGTCTTTTTGTTTAATTAAGAAAGAGGACATGTTTGAAGTGCTGCACATTTCAAACTTGATAGTTTCATACCGTGTATTTTTTACTGTGAACCCGAGCAGGTAGGGCTCAAGATTTGTAATTGCTATCCCGATAACATAGATTGTATGTAGCGACTTAACTGATGTTCTTTGACCCTTTTCTTCCAAATTATATAACAACGTTTTCTTCCCGCGTCGCTACTTATCAATATCTTACTTTTGATTCATGATGAATGTCCACCCGAATAAATGGTTAAGGGTTTATACAGTTGTAAGGTTATGATCTGGTCTTAATGCTCATAAAAATAGGACAGTGTATGATCCTACATTTCAGCTGTCATATTTCATAAACTGTTATTCAAGATAACACTAGAGAAATGATGATTGAACAGCTGCAAATTTCAAAGTATAATAATATTATAGTAATAAAACGTAACGATAAAACTGAACAAATGCAGAAACTTTTGTTTCATATGGTGTACTTTTTATTGTGAGACCGAGCAAATAGGACGTAAGATTTGAAATGACTATCCCAACAACGTAGATTGTATGTAGCGAAAACAAACACAAAGAAAATACCAACAGGACAACAGTCCTTTCGTCGATAAGTACAAAGTCAGATAAGTAACATTAATACTAAACCAGTATGAATAGCTTTCCACCAAGTTGTATGATAATCGTGATAATTTCAATTTCCCTATTGTGAATATTCCATATCTGGATAGCAACAATCCTGCATCCAAGCCTATGGTGTGTTTGTATGTCGAAGTGTATTCGATATTAAAGGGTCTGTTCGCATTATCCCATTTTCGTGCTCGAAGACAAAGGGCGGACAAACTCGTTACACAGCGCTACAATAGATCCAAGTTGATAAAAATGGGGACGTTTTATAGTGCTATCATTGAGAAATATTCTATTTCCTTGTGCGATATGAAGCTGTACGTGTTTGATGCTCATTAGTTTGCCTGTTGCTTCCGTTGTTGTATACCTTGATCCCATTTGAGAACGTGACATTACTAACGCATACTCTTCCGGTCTTAGCGTTCTTGTACATTTTTATGGGTCTATGTGTAAATCTTTCTTTTGTTCATATTTTGCCTTAATTTTATTTGATTTTCAATTATGCTCACATAGTGTCATTTTCTTATATCTTTTTAATTCTAAATGTTCGTCAATCGTTGATATGGAATACAATAAACTATAAATCAGGTTATGCCCTATGTTTATACCTTTTTGTGTTGTGCAAGCCACAAAGACAGTTGATTGATAGTTAGAACTATAGTACGAAGAAAATTCTCCCCATCCCCCAAATGGGCAGTCAGCTATACTGCTCTCTGATCCGTTACATTGCACATAATCCATCCAAGTCGGTTGCTTTCGGTTGTTAGTTTCGTGGTATAATGTAAATGTCGATGCAGAGTGGCCAAAGCTAAAACAGAATCGATGAATTAATATCATTAACAGTTTTAACTGTACTATCATCTACTTTATTTTTCCACATTAACCAATTAAACCTTTTATTGACCTTGAGTATTTTATCACATGGAGACTCTTGTAAGACATATCGAAACTTAATGATTCCCATACAATGACAAAATGGTTTTATGTTATCTAGGTGAAAATTTTATTTAAGGGAAATATTTCATTTGTAGCTAAAAAAAAATTTAGTTTATGAAGGAGCGAAACAACCCAAAGTGTTTATAAACATGACATGCTCACGTGCATAGTAAACGTGATTGATGACAGGCTATATAAAAACTAGAAAGTAATCCAAGATAAATTTCTCATAAATATGTATCGACCACGACAGTAGTTACACCATAGTACGCACAGATTTCACACTACGAACTAAATCGCTGTGGTTTAAACGCCAGTACAAAAACTGCTCCTAATAATCTAAATTACACTTATTTTAATCATTAAAACATCTACGGCTTATACCAATCAAAACCAAATAAAAAACTAAATTATGACTGTATCTACTGTAAAACCTATTTAGAAAACCACAGCCGTACATGCAAGGTCCTTTCTTGTGACTTCTAACTTTCTGATATGTTGTTGTTAGATATCTGACCTGTATCCAAGCGTCCTACACACAACTTGTGCATCCTTGTTGTCCCAGTTTCGAGGGCCAATGTAGCCCCAGTGTCCGTCATAATACACTTCAACACGCCCTGAACTGTTGTAATATCCTTCCCTCTCTACTAGGCGTACGGCTACCTCTGTGTGATCTGCACGGGACAAAAAATGGTCATGTGTTCTCTGTCAAAAGTCATACATTACATAGGTGCAATATGGATATAGTAATAAAAGACGTTTTGATGATCATCATTGTGTCTATGTTTAATTTAAAAATTAGCCATAAGTATCTATACCACAGGAAATAAAATCCATGACCCTTGACCTTCATAAGATATGCGTCATAAAATAAGCACCAACCCTTCCAAAATGTATAGAACATACCCTGTTCTATGTTGAAATTACAGAAAAATAGATTTCAAGAACTAAACATGAATATAAAGAAGATTTTGTTTTTATTATTTCATACCTAACAGAAACCTATCAGAGGGTCAGACACTTTTCTAAATTACTGTTATGTTGCCAAACATTTCCATTCAATATACCTGTGTCATTAAAGCAAACTACACCAGCATCGTCTTTATGTGTACATGTCGATTTACCCCAGCCAGGAAAAGGACAATCAAATATGCTGGATTCAGACCCGGTACACCCAACATCCGACATCCAGATCAGACCTGACCCCTCTCCGAATACAGAATATTTATACGCAGATCCATGGCTATAAAAAGAATATTAAAAATAATGTTTTATAACAAATCATCAATGTCAATATGTATTGCATAAAATTTCAGCTGGTGATGTTCGCTAATAACCAACATACCTATTCGACGTAGATTGCATTCGAATAAGAATACATACAAATCTTTCCTGAGGTAACATTCCTATCTACGGAATATCATTTAGCATATATTCGGTTGGATTCGTGAAGAATGAATTTCAATACGGAACGGGACAGCGATCTTAGTCAAGTGAAAATAGACATGGTAATGTGGATTATAGTAGATTCTGCTACGCTTTGTTTTACTCTTGGTGTGCGAAGCGTAGCCAACGTACTTACGTACCTCAGAGCTAGTACGTCTAACACTGGTTATTTGTCTGAAGATGACCGTGTATTCATGGAAACATTACATTTTGATTCACTACTGCTTGTGTTACAAGGTCTTAAGTCTATCCCATTACTTAATCAGATAAGCAATTATTTACATGGTGGGCGTCGTGAAGAAGCGGATAACGATTCCCCTTCTGTTCCTACATTAACAAATTATTTTTTGTTCATATTTGTCCATGTCTCTCCAAATTATGATTTGGAACTATGATTGGACTCGTTGATATTCTCTTGTTTCTCGTTTTCATTTATCCAGATATGAGGTTATCTGGATCGGACCTCGATTTATAAAATCGATATGTCTATAACATGTCTACTCTTCCAGAACATTCCAAAACTAACCAAGAATTCTATTGCCATTGGTCTAAAACTGCTTTTTTGTCTACATGTCTATAGTTATTCCTTCGGATACTTAAGCGTAGATACAATACATAATAAAAATAGGAAATCTGGTAAAAAAATCAATGGCTTGTGGTAGATCTTGTTACGCTATATCGAGTTCACTTGTTAAAGTCTGTGTTCTAAAGAACAAAAAAATGGTGTCCTATAGACCATATGGTTTCTCTTGAGTCATTACAGGTAACATTCGGCGATTAATATTCTAATACCTCTATTTGAGCTACTTTTTCACTATGTACAGTTGAAACTCGTTGTCTCGAAATCGAGTCGAAATTCCGTTTGAGTCGAAATAATTTTCAAGTTCCGATTTTTTTCCCTTCTATATCTTTGTAATTTTAGTTCGGATGACTCGAATTTCATTGAGTCGAAATTTCGGTTGAGTCGAAGCGATTTTTCAGTCCCTTTAATTGTAAAGCCAGAGAAAACTCACTCGTTGTCTCGAAGTTAATTTTTGCTAAAACATCGACACGTCTTCTGACGAAATCAGTCAGTCATGGCTAATTACGGCGTATCGGTGGCTATCGTACACATAACGCTTGGTATCTGGCGATTAATTACCAGTCTAATTATTCGATTAAAATTTGACTTCTTATTGGTATCACCATTCTGTAGAAGTGACTTACATGTACGTTAAAAATGTAGCTCGTTTACACAAAACATGAAACCTTAGCTTGGTTGCGTGCATATTCAGGAACGATAAAAATGACACCGTCAAACCAGTACGGACTTTTTAACGAAATCTGATCCCCAATATTGTTTGGACAATGGAGTGCTGAAAGTATTTTTTCATAAATAGAGTCTATATCAGTGCGTGATTTGTTAAGACTAGCGCTTGTACAATGTTTTCTTAAACATTTAAAAAAGCGTTTTTCATATGTTCATTTATTCTTATGAGTTCATAATGATTTAAACTTGTAGCTTTATACATCGTTTCTTGTAGCGCGGGACGGAACGACATGAGTACAAATGTATTTGATTGGAATTGTTATTACATGTTTTGTTGTTTGAATGAATTAACAATAAAAGGACAAAGTAGAATTAAATTCATTTGTTTATTCACTGCCATTAAAAAAACATAAAATTACGCTGCTTGTGTACCTCGTACAACCATAATCAACACCAGGAAACTGATATCGTCATCCTTATTTATACACTTCGTTTGAGTCGAAATTAGCTAATTTAGCTATATATTGCATGTACATATTTTTATCAATATTTTATCTACATTTTACTTGTATTTTCCTATATTTATCTTCATTTCACCGTTATTCTACATCTATTTTACCTGTATCCAAGCATGCGACAGACCACTTTGGCGTCCTTGTTATCCCAGTAGTCGTCACAAACAGTCCCCCACTGTCCGGAATATAACACCTGCACGCGACCGGAACTTTCAGAAAAACCTCCCAATAGTTGAACTGTTTGTCCATCTTCATCAAGGAAAATACGAATATATAGACATTTACTTGTTATCATGAAAGTCATTAACTTCATCACTTGTAATCACGATAGTCATTTACTTCATCACTTGTCATCCCGATAGTCATTTACTTCATCACTTGTCATCACGATAGTCATTTACTTCATCACTTGTCATCACGATAGTCATTTACTTCATCACTTGTCATCACGATAGTCATTAACGTCATCACTTGTAATCAAGTTAGTCATTAACTTCATCATCTGTCATCACGATAGTCATTAACTTCATCACTTGTCATCACGATAGTCATTTACTTCATCACTTGTCATCACGATAGTCATTTACTTCATCACTTGTCATCACGATAGTCATTTACTTCATCACTTGTCATCACGATAGTCATTTACTTCATCACTTGTCATCACGATAGTCATTAACTTCATCACTTGTTATCACGATAGTCATTTACTATTTTATTTTGGATGCCGGATACCAAACAACGCCTCAATATTCTCGGCGGAAGCGCGAGCTATCTACAGCGTTTTGAACATATTCAAACCAAGTACTGAAAGCTGTTATCTATTCAGACTCTTTCTATACTACAAAGGCTAAGCAATAGAAACATCAGCAATAGTTTGATTCGTCACACATTAATACTATATTATGAACTTGCCTTTAACTTTCATATTGTTTTGCTGGGTTCTTTGGTACATGGATATACCATGCAATGATCGTGCTGCAAAGGAAGCTTTATCGCTAACACCTGTACTTCATTTTATTGATTTAAAACTATTCATCAAACAATTTTTAGCAGTTCAGTGGCAGGAGGAATTGCATCAATATACCGATTATAAATTGCGTTCCGTAAAACCGATCATCAATTAATGGTCTCCATGCTATAGAGACAACCACCGAGACGAAGTTGTCCTTGTTCGTCTTCGGATGGGCCATACTTACTTTACACATTCATATATATTAAAAGGCGAAGACAATCATTGGTAAGGGATGTGATAAGCCATTCACCGTTAAGCATTCTAATTCTGCATTGACCTTCAGCCTACTCTATAACTTTTTTATCGTCACGTTACCAGACACTTTTTGAAACCGTTGAGATTGATAAAAGCCTTGGTTATCAGAAAGATGGTGGTCTATCTGATACAATATGACTTACCATTTGAATATTTGTGATAATATAATAATTTAAGATTTTCAACATTTGTCTTTTACCTGTTAGTTCGTTTGATGTTATTTCCATTTGGATGGCTGTGTCTTTCATCCATTGATGGTTCTAATGACATTTATGTGTTGACGGGCCGAATATAATCATAAGTATACCAGAGCTGGACTAAAATATCTCACGAGTAAATTTACTGAAGCTAGGTTAAATTTATCTGATGAATGAAATTACTCAACCTAGATGAGATATTAGATAAAAAAAACTACCAGAGCTATACCATTTGACGATTAAATATACTAAAGCTATGTTTTTTTATGATTAAATATACCAGGGTTATGCCATCTGTCAAAGATGTGCCAGAGTCTATCCTCGAATAATTTTTAAATAAGACCTGATTGAGACATTTTTTACGATAATGCAAACAATCACAATATTAAATGAAAGAAAAACGTTATGGTCACTAAGAAGTTTGGATTACCTACACCAAATTCTTTACGGGATGCACCGCGGAAAGTAATGTAGATCTATTACGAACATAAAACACATTTGTTAATGTGAGATTCACGTGTCATGTAACAGGCCTGTAACAATGCAATTAAAATGAAACTCAATCTGTTTAACAGTGAAGAATTTCATCTGGTTAGGTATGGGCAACTGCACTTTTTTAAGGTAACTATAGTCTAACTATACTTCGGAAACTCTCTAAATTAATAGAAACGTAGTGTATCTTTAAAATGCAACATATTAAAGCATTTACTCACCAAACTAAACAAACCAACAAAACAAAAAAACAAAAACAAAAAACCCTAATACCTCAACCCTAACTCATCAAACAAAATAAGAAAACAGACACTTATTACTCTCAACAACTCAACACTCACTGAGTAAATGTAATGTTAAAACACACCCTAATAATACAAAATAACAAAACAGAAACCTATCATTCTCATTAACTCAACACTCACTGAGCAAATGTAATGTTAAAACACACCCTAATAATACAAAATAACAAAACAGATACTTATCATTCTCATTAACTCAACACTCACTGACCATACAAAATATCAAAACAGACATTTATCATTCTCATTAACTCAACACTCACTGATCATACAAAATAACAAAACAGAAACCTATCATTCTCATTAACTCAACACTCACTGAGCAAATGTAATGTTAAAACACACCCTAATAATACAAAATAACAAAACAGAAAGCTATCATTCTCTTTAACTCAACACTCACTGAGCAAATGTAATGTTAAAACACACCCTAATAATACAAAATATCAAAACAGACATTTATCATTCTCATTAACTCAACACTCACTGATCATATTGTTAGTTTCCAAAACACATAAAAACAAAACTATCATTCTCATTAACTCAACACTCACTGAGCAAATGTAATGTTAAAACACACCCTAATAATACAAAATAACAAAACAGAAACCTATCATTCTCATTAACTCAACACTCACTGAGTAAATGTAATGTTAAAACACACCCTAATAATACAAAATAACAAAACAGAAACCTATCATTCTCATTAACTCAACACTCACTGAGTAAATGTAATGTTAAAACACACCCTAATAATACAAAATAACAAAACAGACACTTATCATTCTCATTAACTCAACACTCACTGACCATACAAAATATCAAAACAGACACTTATCATTCTCATTAACACAACACTCACTGAGCAAATGTAATGTTAAAACACACCCTAATAATACAAAATAACAAAACAGAAACCTATCATTCTCATTAACTCAACACTCACTGAGTAAATGTAATGTTAAAACACACCCTAATAATACAAAATAACAAAACAGACACTTATCATTCTCATTAACTCAACACTCACTGACCATACAAAATATCAAAACAGACACTTATCATTCTCATTAACTCAACACTCACTGATCATACAAAATAACAAAACAGATACCTATAATTCTCATTAACTTAACACTCACTGATCATACAAAACAGGTACCTATCACTTTCAAAATCTCAACACTCACTAATCAAATGTAATGATAAAACACACACTAATCAAAAGTCAGCACAAAACTCACTGATAAAAGAATTAGACAATACTCACTGATCAAATATTACAAACAAAAGAAAAAACACTAAAAAGTAATGCCAGAACACTCACTGATGAAACTTAATTATAATAGAAACAAACCTCTCACTGATCAAACGAAGTAAGAAAAAAAATCACTGATCAAGTATCAATTAATAAAACATACACTGTAATAACACAACAGTTTATGAACAAACTTCATTACCGAACAGTTACTGTTTAGGCTACATGACAGAACAGTTATTGTTCAAGATACGTTACAGAACAGTTATTGTTCAAGATACGTTTCAGAATATTTACTGATGAAACTACATAACACAACATATACTGATCAAGCTACATCACAGAGCAGTTCCTGTTCTAACACAATAAGATAACAGTTACTGGTCAAACTACATGGAACTGGTAGTGTTGAAATTCAGTAACTGAACAGTTACTCATCATCATAATGATATAATACTGAAACACCACAACACGTTGCGGAGTCAGAACTTCACCGTGTATTTAAGTTAAACCTTCCTTGATCGTAGTTGTGGCCCGAGTACATTACCGACACACCCTGATGGGGTTTATCGTTCACAATCGTTTGACAAGCATTATCTCCGTATTGATGAAGTCACGGACATAAAGTGATATCTCTCAATAAATAATTATAAAGAATTTTCACTAACCTGCTATCGAAACATCATGAAAAAGAACCCCGAGAAGAAGCAGCCGGATATGAAAAGAAGACTCCATTTTGTTGTCCGGCCACGATAGTGTGTATCCATCCGTAAAATGATTGTCGTGTCGATAAATGTTACCAAATATGGGTTTTATTTATAAGAAGTCACTCAATACGTTTACTTCCTACTTATCAAATGTTTTTTAATAATTTACCTATGTATCATGATGTTATGTTACCTACACCACACTGTTCAGCGGATGCGCCGCGTTAAGGAATGTAGATCTAGAAACATACACCCTAGGTCAACCATGCTATTACTAGCATAAAACACGTTTGTTAATATGAGATCCCCGTGTCATGTAACAGGCCTGTAACAATGCAATTAAAATGAAACTCAATCTGTTTAACAGTGAAGAATTTCATCTGGTTAGGTATGGCCAACTGCACTTTTTTAAGGTAACTATAGTATAACTATACTTCGGAAACTCTCTAAATTAATAGAAACGTAGTGTATCTTTAAAATGCAACATATTAAAGCATTTACTCACCAAACTAAACAAACCAACAAAACAAAAAAACAAAAACAAAAAACATCAAACAAAATAAGAAAACAGACACTTATACTCTCAACAACCAACACTCTGAGTAAATGTAATGTTAAAACACACAAAATAACAAAACAGATATCATACAAAATATAATTCTCATTAACTTAACACTCACTGATCATACAAAACAGGTACCTATCACTTTCAAAATCTCAACACTCACTAATCAAATGTAATGATAAAACACACACTAATCAAAAGTCAGCACAAAACTCACTGATAAAAGAATTAGACAATACTCACTGATCAAATATTACAAACAAAAGAAAAAACACTAAAAAGTAATGCCAGAACACTCACTGATGAAACTTAATTATAATAGAAACAAACCTCTCACTGATCAAACGAAGTAAGAAAAAAAAATCACTGATCAAGTATCAATTAATAAAACATACACTGTAATAACACAACAGTTTATGAACAAACTTCATTACCGAACAGTTACTGTTTAGGCTACATGACAGAACACTTATTGTTCAAGATACGTTACAAAACAGTTATTGTTCAAGATACGTTACAGAACAGTTATTGTTCAAGATACGTTTCAGAATATTTACTGATGAAACTACATAACACAACATATACTGATCAAGCTACATAACAGAGCAGTTCCTGTTCTAACACAATAAGATAACAGTTACTGGTCAAACTACATGGAACTGGTAGTGTTGAAATTCAGTAACTGAACAGTTACTCATCATCATAATGATATAATACTGAAACACCACAACACGTTGCGGAGTCAGAACTTCACTGTGTATTTAAGTTAAACCTTCCTTGATCGTAGTTGTGGCCCGAGTACATTACCGACACACCCTGATGGGGTTTATCGTTCACAATCGTTTGACAAGCATTATCTCCGTATTGATGAAGTCACGGACATAAAGTGATATCTCTAATTAAATAATTATAAAGAATTTTCACTAACCTGCTATCGAAACATCATGAAAAAGAACCCCGAGAAGAAACAGCCGGATATGAAAAGAAGACTCCATTTTGTTGTCCGGCCACGATAGTGTGTATCCATCCGTAAAATGATTGTCGTGGCGCTAAATGTTGCCAAATATAGGTTTTATTTAAATTACGTCACACTCAATACTTTTACGTCCTACTAATCAAATGATGTTCATTATTTATCGATGTATCACGATGTCATGTTATGTATATGTTGTGGTATTGAATATTATATCTATATTATTATATATTCGGCTAAAGACTGTTTAACACATGGTCATAGATGTGCGAGTTTATCCTCGCATATTTCTAAAATTTTTTTGAGAATTTTTTTACGAAAATGCAAATAGCGAAAAAAATCTAAAGAAATGAAATCTTCCTTATCACTAAGCAATTGAGACTGTTCAGGGTGCGTAAGGTGGATCTAAACAAACTATGTCAACCATGCTATCACTGTCAATAAAACACGTGTGTTAGTGAAAGATCACCATATCGGTGTGTTCTGCGTTCTGCCACTTGTAGAGGAAACATGAATACAGTTATGTAATGACAATTATAATAGCCGGTTTCATATCATAATTGGATCCCCCATCAGAAAAGGATCCGGATCATTTTTCTGGCCATCAGAAAATGATTCCCCTATATTATTTTGATCCCCCTTAAGAGAAGTTTTATTAACAATGCCTATATGCATATATCTAAGGTGATAGTGAAAATATGATGATAGGTGTTATGTTAGCTGTGAAGTTGTTAATTACACCTGGCCAACAAGTCAATTACATAAGAGGATTAAGGGAAGAGGGGTCAAACCTGAGTGAGCACCCATGTGCACATGGCAGGTATGCCGAGTGATCAATTAAAGTTACCTGTGGATAAATATCATTACAGATTGATTGAGGTCCTCATTTTACATAAAAGCTATGTTTAATATACATTTTCCACTTGAAAATTAATAGATTCATATTTGCATGAATATTAAAACTTGCAGATAAATTGCTTAACAGTTATCTAATTCAAAACAAGCAATGCATGCTATACATGTAAATGTGTTGGATCATTAGGGATTTAATTTTATGTAAAAAAACGCCCTTGTTTTTATGAGAAAATAACATATTTGCTCAAACATAGGCCTTTTATCAGTATTTAATTTATAGTAATTTGAAATAACTAAATATGTATACAATTAAAAGATATTCATATAATAAAAATATTAAGAAACATGTATATTAGAATGAACAAACAACTACTACCAACAACTATTTGGTATATTTGAATCCGACACATGAAAAAAAAAACTCTTATGTTATTTCTTTACCTTTTTCTGTTCAAGTTTCGAAAAACTTCAGAATTGGTCATGTTTATTACACAATTAAATCATCAATTTGGGTTCTTTTTGTTTAGTTCTAAATATTTCCATCCATCAACTCATAATTTTTTCTATCTACATGCAATTATTCAACAAATAAAACCTTTTGTTTGTTTCATAATTATGTACATGTATATTATTTAGTGTCTCCCAAGTTATGTACTAATAAGTGGAGCTTGACCTCTTCAGCCTTGGCTTCACAGGTGTTATGTAATCACACTTGTACAGGTAACCCAGGTATCAGTGACCAAGACCCAGACACAGTTATCAATCATATCTCGTTTTATTTATAAAATTATAAAGTTTAAAATAAAATTCACAATGGAGATCAAAATACTATAGGGGGATCCTTTTCTTATGGGGGAAAAGCGATCCCCGTGTCCATTTCTGATGAGGGAAAAGTGATCCGGATCCTTTTCTGATGGGGGATACAAATATGATATGACACCGGTCCTGTTTTACACTGCTGTTCTCCTACCAGTTTACTTCTTAGTTCAAGTTTATTCCAGGGGCCTTACAGCCCATAGGTTTACATGAATATTATACATACATACATAAACATGTTATAATTGACATATATGGAGAGTGATCTCCCTTGACGAGTATGCTTAATAATGTATAATAAACATGTACGACTTCACATAAATACATATCTGGAATGTAACCAAACCATAAAGCACATTCATACACACACACACTTACATGAACGTTCACATATATTGTAAGCACACATGCTTAAGAGAAAACACTCCAGTACTCACTCGCTTACGTGCGAATCCGCGCAAACCCTTATCTTTCAGAATTATCAACTAAGTCAATCAATGAAAGTAAAAAATGTTGTGTATGAAAAAGTTAACATTTTACAAATCAAATCCATCTTATAAGGCTTTGCTTATAATATTTCAGATCGCCGTTTAAATGCATAATGAATAAATTTTTCGAGGTTATTTAACTCCTTTATATTGTTTATACTCAGAAGCTGAATTAATTTGAACACACTAGGTCTGCGAAAATTATATGATTTCAAATAATTAGATCGGAGATAACATAAAAGGGACATTTTAAAATCAAATGAAATTTGTTTTCAATATCTCTATTATTACATAATGTGCAGCCCCTATTTTCTCTGGCTACATTCCTGTATCTACACCTTTCAATATTGAGCTGATATGATGACAATCTTATTTTTGATATACATTTCTTGAATCGATAGTCAATAAGTTTCCTTAAATAATAATGCAGCCCAAAATTGTCTATTAATATCAAATGTTAATATAAATAACCTTTCGCAGAATTTCGAATATTGCTCAACAATTCTTGAATATGAATTTCTTGAAATTTACTCTCAATTAACTTGTATACTAGTTTTCTGTCAAGACTGCTGTTCCATAGGTAACCTTATCCTAATTTATCTAGTTCTAACTTAATATTTACAATCCACTCATCGTTATCTAATAATCTTTGCTCATAGGATGCTTTCAGCACTCAATTATCTGTATCTTTGATTTGAGTCCAGCATTTCATTATTTTCAATTTTCTGATAATATGCATTGGTAATCTACCTAAATAAACTATACACATTTCGCAACACCTAAACTCTTTTTACAAAAATGTGAATGTACTTTTTCAACATCAGTAGCTTTATGGAATCCCCAAACTTCACTTGCATATATTAATACACTACTAACATAAGTATCAAAAACTGAGCATAACGTTTCAACATTGAAGTTATGATTTTTCATTTTGTTTATCAGTCTAAAATACGATTTTCTCCCCTTTTCCGCTGCATGTTGCTGCGTATTGTTAAATTTACCATTAAAATTGAAAAGCATATCCAGTTAGTTAAATTTGTTCACAACTTCAATTTCAACATCGTTGTAAAACCATTTTTCATTATCTTTAATGCGCCCACCATTTCGAAAAATTACTATTTTTGTTTTAAGTACATTAAGTTTAAGTTTCCATTTATCATTATAAATAAGCAGTGCATCTAGCATTGATTGCAACCCGCTTGGTGATTCAGCTATGAAAACCGAATCATCAGCATACATCAATAAAAATATAGATATCATACCTAACTCAATAGATGGACAACTTTGGTTATTAAAATTGATTTTACAATCGTTTACAAAAAGACTATACCAAATTGGCGATAAAATTTCCCCTTGAAAGAGGCCGATTCTGTTAGGATGATAATCTGAAATATGACCTTTATATTTGACACAAGATTTGACATTATCGTACAATGATTTTATGATATTTAATAACTTCCCTTGAATTCCTTGTTTTATTAGCTTACACCATAGACTACTTTTATCGATGAGGTCAAAGGCTTTTCTTATAGCCTACAAAACAGCAATATAATCTTCGTTTATTTTTTAAAGTTTTATTGATCAATAACTGGAGTGCAAATATTGCATCTACAGTTGAACAAGAGCGTCAGAAATAATGTTATTGTCTTTGTCCCACTTAAGAAGTCTTCTATTAAGGACAGATGTAAACAATTTGCCCATGCAGCTAACCAAAGCTATGCCTCTATAGTTACCAGTGTCGTTAACGTCGCCATTTTTGTAGGTTGGTACTATACAACCACGTGACCACATTTCTGGGGAAAATCCAGAATCAAATACATTTTCCAAAGAGTATTGTAATGCAATGAAGCAAAATTTCCTCAAAGTCAAAAAAAAGTTCAATAAAAATACAATCTTCGCTACAACTTATACCTCGTTTCAGCTTACTTCGTCTACTGTGAATGGCTTATCTAGTTCTTCGAATACAGCAGAATCAACGTTTTCCAATAACATTTTTGGATTGTAAATATTATTAATATTACAATCTCCCAAGTTTTTGAAATGTTCTACAAAATCTTTCAAGTTTAGATTTGACTTCGGTACACTGCTTCGACCCTTTAAAAAATATTTATGAAATGTTTTTGGATTAGACTTTCTTAGATATTCTATCATGTCATCTTCTCGATGGTTGTATTGCCTTTTAAATCTCGATTCTAGTTTCTTATACAAAGATGTTTTCTGGTGAGAATAGTGTAATTTTCAACAGACTGATATTTACTAAAATCAACATATCTACGTTTACACTGTTCAGAGAACCATGGTTTGTCGTCTATTTTGGTTTTATTCTTAGATGTATTATAATTAAAATTATCTGTCACCTTTTTCGCATTGCAATTTGGTAACAAAATTGGTGATGCATTTTAAACATCTTCTTTAGTATCAAAAGGTACGTTACAAGCAAGGTTTTCTAATACAGTATTCAGATATTAAATATTTCATCAGTATTTTCCAGATTCCATCTTACATTTGAACACGGTTTCCCTGTGCACGGCATATCAACACAATTATCATTCAAGAGTAAAAGATAATGGTGAATGATCAGACAACGTATTAAACACACCAGATAAAAACGTTTGCACACATGAAAAATATTCAGAATCTACAAGTAAATACTCAATAAGACTTGTACCGTTATTACTATAAAAAGTAAAATTTCCTTTTTGTCACCAAAATGACGCCCGTTAACAATGCGCATGCCGGTTGATTTACATGAAGTTAAAAGTTTCATTCCGTAAGTATTGACATTTTTATCCATGTTCCTACGCTCAAGAATTTCTACATCATTATCATATTCAAACATATTTCCCTTTCGGGACCTGTTTAG